GTTGCTGTTGAAAAACAAGAAGTGTCATCGAACTACGATATTCACCAACAGGTCAGGCTTATCTTGAGAACCAGGCGCTCCACTATCTGTGTCGAAACAAAGATCTAGAGAATGTGTCAGTGAAGCGGTTTTACGAGCTTTACGAGGAACGACCAATGAAGAGTGTCCACAGGCGGAAGCGTCAGCGAACTGATGAGGAGAAATGGCCTTTATGGCTGACACTGGGCATTTCGTGCATCCATCAGCGATCAAAGGAAACGACGGGGTGTTAACTGGTGAAACTTCAGCGGGAGTAATTTTGAGGAAAGAAGAAGCATTGGTTCGGGTTCCACAATGGGCCTTCTCAGATGCAGGCGGTTTTGGTGCGAATATCCTGACGTGTCCTACTGGCGAACTGAACCAGGCAATGGATACTTATGCGGAAGTGCTGTTGGCTTTGTACTTGCCGCATCGATGTTTGGCTGATTTAAAGAAGTCCGTACCCCAGACCAACTTTGCTTTCGCTGAAAGACTTCGTGAAGTGTATGAATACGATGTTCTGAGAAAAGCGAATAACGAAGAACCCGTCGTCTTCTCAGAAAGGAACCTGTCATTCATCCAGAACATTCAAGACACCGCTTTCAACAACCCGAGGTATAAGGTGAAAGAGGATGATCTTCAACGAGTCACTAAGCCCTATAGACCGGAAATTGGGAGGAGAACATGTACGAAAACGAATCTGATGAGAGCACGAACATGAGGAAGATGATCTGATTCAAAAGGTTTACGAAGATTGGATACGTGATCTTGAGAGCCAGGGCACAACAGATTCAAACCGGGACTTTCTGGCAAGCACATTTGATGGTCTTAGTTTTACGGCTATACGTCACAATGGAAGCGACAACGCAGGATACAACGTGCAGTTACCCATTCCTGAGAATTCGTTAGATGAAGACGAATTTGTTACCTAAGTGCTGACTTTCACACGACTGGCACTACAAAGAGAAGCAGAGTGGAACCGCCTACACCTCGATATCACAAGACATTGAAGTTCTACTTAACAAACGGGAGTGCATCCAAAGGGCAAATGTATTTAAGTACAATCCGCAGGTTGAAGTGTCGCAGGCGAATGGAAGCGTGAGAAGTATAAGTGACTGGGCAACGGCTGCCAATCTGGACGACAAACAGAGAAGGGCTTTCGAGTGTATCATTGCAGCCTTCTTGTTGACATTTTATGAGGAAGCTGAAAAGGTGGACTTAGAGGATGGAGTCCCGGATATGGGGTTGAAGGCAAAAGTCCGACTTTCTCGTAAAAACTTTTGATTTTGAAGGGAAGTCGTGGCACCCAACTGATTCTTCTTCTACATGGGCCTGGAGGAAGTGGGAAGACTACCGTAATTGACTTAGTCATGCCTATGGCAAAGAATTCTGCAGTTTGATTGATCATCCATTTAACGACCGAACATTGTTGTCACTGCTATGTCGGGGTTGCTGCTACAATACTACATGGGGAAACAACGCATTCAGCTGTGGGATTGAACAGAACTCGGGAAAGTGTGGCGAAGAACTTGGTAGAAGAATGGAGTGACGACACGGATGCTTATCATCGACGAAATTTCATTCGCGGGGGAACTTGACTTAGTGAAGATATTCCACTACACCAAGACCTTGATGCAAGACGAATACCAACCATTTGGGGGACTTAACTTGGTGTTCGCGGGGACTACTCTCAACTTGAACCAGTGGGACGCCCCCAATTTACAATCTTCAGCAACCATTCCTGAATTTCATGACTCTCTGAATTCATTTATTGAGTTAGATGGAATGCACCGCTTCAAAGACGATCCTGAATGGGGGCAACGCTGTTTAAGATTCGTGAAGGGCGACCAACAGAAGAAGATATTGAGACCATCAATGACGCCTGCATGGTTGGCCCAACCCATGTTCCACCAGAGAACATTCAAGTTGCTACTTATCTGAATCGAGATCGAGATGCCATTAACTCAGCTATCTTCGAAGAATTTTGCGGGAAGAACAAACCTGCTGATGATTCCGTGCTGATGGATGCAGTACTCATTTTTCATGGACGATCTTCAAATGGCCAATCAAGCAGGGACACTGGTTCCTGTTAAGAGCAATTCGGTTTAAAGCACTTCTTTTCAACATGTGGAGAAGACTCGTTAAAACCCGGTTCGGACTCACGAAAACGTGTTGATCCTGCTTTGAAGTTATATAAGGGGTGTCCTGTAATGTTTACAGAGAACACGAATGTCCGAATGGAGAAGCCAATGGATCTCGGCTTTTTGTGAGAAAGGTGAATGTGAGGCATGGTTGCACCCCCATGGTTATTCAACTCGACAACGGCTGCAAGATTCGGGCTTTTTTCTCAGGTCAAGTCAAATCTATCCTTGTGGAACATGAAATGGAGACTATTATGCCACGTACTTTTTATGTAACGGAGCAAGACTACACTTTCAGTACCAGATGGTTTTATGACGGAGAAGTTGTACACACCAAGATGAAGGGTAAGCAGTTCCCGATTATCAGCAATTCTGCGACAACTGGACACAAATTACAGGGATATACTGCAGTGTGGTTATTGGTACATTCATGCGATACTGTCAAAACTGGGCTTACGTGGTGTTATCAAGGGTTGCGAACCATGGATGGTTTGTCTTATTGAAGAAGCGGGATGGGATCCAAAGAATCTTTGCCATGCCACAACGAATGAGAGACAGCTTGCAAGATTTAAGGATACTATTGGCTTTCTGTCTAGGAGTAAGATCAATACGATGAAATGTTCCAGCCAGAAGACGGGTTATTGTTATAAGTATGAACGGAGGGATATAGGGTAAATTAATCTGTATATAAAAACTTTATTACTACAACTACCTTTCTGAGATTCGCATTTCACCTCGTACGTCATTCAAAGTCAGTCATTGAAAAAAGATCAAGGTCCAATAAATCACAGCGACCCCGAAAAATTAGGAGCAACTTTTAAAATGTGAAGAACGCAAGGCGACTTTCATGTGCATGTAATGCGTTGACTGATCCCTCAATACAATACTAGTCGAATACGTAGACTTCTACAGGGCCTTCTAAGTAATGCGCGCCGGGTATAATTCAAACCTCTGCCCCCATCGGTACCATTACCCCTAAAGCAAATCGTCTCCAGGAGACGAAATTCCTGAGTTAACTTATTAGATGAAGCCGAATACACGCGTGTTTTTCTGGGCAACTTTGTGTTTCAGGTAGATGCGGTAAAACATATTTTAATGTGCGTGTAATTCTTCCCATCAAATTGTAACTTTAATCCTAAATCTCATGTAACTACCAAATAATCAATTAGAAATAAAATTTTATTTACCCCCACTACCTGCAATAGAAAAGCAGACTCCCGAGCATGGCAGAAGGAGCTCACAAAATCGTATGTAGTATTCAACGATTTTGAAGCTGCATAGCTCTCAGTCGCTGGCGAAGGTGAGGATGCCGATGAACAGAATTCGAGTAACTGGGGCGAAACCAAACCAATTGAACTTCTTGATTACCTCTCTCTGTGACATAAAAACAACCAAAACATGGTCGCATTCAATACTAGAAGTTTTAAAATCAAAGCAGCACTTGTCTCTGTGTGCATTGCCCTTGGCACTCTCTCATGGATGATACGAGGAGCAACAAAACAAGAGCACGCTGTGAAGGATCCCAATACCTGTTTGTATGTACCCGGAGGAGGGTTTTCTGGCTTCTTTTACAACATTGGTCATCTGCAGGCTACATCGACAGCGAAACCAACATCAGCCAACAAACTGATTGCTGGTTCCGAGAATGACAATGGTGACACCGACTACTACTGCTATTCTGCAGGATGTCTTGCCACAACGGCTGCTTTGGGCAACATCACTGTTTATGATGTGTATGGTGCATGCATGGATATTCAAGACTTGATGTGGACTGGGGACATCTCACAGTTTGAGGTAGTGGAGGAGTTTGTAGACTATCTGATATCTACAGGTCGTGAACGCACTTTGAATGATGCAGCTTTGGCCAAGATGCACATCATCACAACTGTGGTGTTGCCTGCAGAAGGCTGGCTGTCACTACCCAAGCTAGAAACTGTTGTAAGGACGCCCCAGTCACTCGAAGAGCTCAAGGAGATGCTGCTACAGACTGCATGGATTCCAGGAGTCACTGGAAACGGTTTGGTATCAGATGATCATCTGGATGGTGGTCTCACCATATTCAGCCATCCTGATTGTCCAAGTGCGGTGGAACCCCCACAATTAACTTGGACCTGGGAAAGCCTGGCATTCTATGCCAACGCTCTCTTTGGTGTGAACATGAGCAAAGAGCAAGCTGAACGTTTCTGGTCCGCAGGAGTCAAACGAGGCCTCCAGGTGGCTGGCCACAAGGTTAGATAGCAAAAATATTCTTGGTGGTACGGAAAATAGATAAAAACTAGAAAATAGATAGCCAAGAGAAAGTAAACTTCCTCTGCTAGCTAGCTAATAGCTAGATTCTTACGAGGAAGGAATTGTGGGTGACTCTCTGGTCTCAGATCTCGGGTACGGGTACGACTGTGCGGTCCGTAGACCAGCCAAGTGGGTGCTCTTGTTCGAAGTCCAATACCTGGAGTAGAGGGTAAAACATGCACCTGGAAACAGCAAATGCAGGTCCAATACAATTGATGTTAGTTGACGATTGTCAGAAACATGAGCGGCAGCGGTAACATGAGTGCATGGACGTGCGGGAGTTTCGTGCAGGTTTTTCGTTATGTGCAGGTTTTCGGGTACGCTCGGTTACGTTCCGATACGTTCCGTTACAGGTTTGGTCTTTTGCACAGTATTTATTAGTAAAAACCATACCTGATTATGTTACGTTACGTTCCGATAGTTTACGTTACTGTCCCTGCGGTTTTGAGCTTTCCGACAACCTTGAACATGCAATGCAAGCTCAGCGCTCAGCGTGGTACCCATCCACAGAAACGGCAGGAAACCGCGTAGCTCATCACCCTCTACTCCTGGACCGGTGTGACCATACCAGGTACCGGTAGACCTATTTGGAATTCTCGCATGTGGAAGGCTGTTCCAGCAACCTCCAAGCTCCAAGCTCCAAGGAGAAGATTGGTTTGTACATGTAAAAAGCGCTCTTCAAATGCCTGCAGAAGGTGACCGTATGCCAGACGCCTATGACCGTGAGCCGTGAGTTTTAATTAAGGGAGCCTCCAACTCACAGTTGCCTGGCAGAGGGGAAGATTGGATGGTTGATGTCGGAGGCATACAGTACGATAGTGGTTGTACCGGTACCGTTGCACCACTCGCTTCATCATTCCTTTCGAACGGTAAGGGTAAATACTACTACCGTAGCTACCCGTACCGGTAGTACGTAGAAAACAGCCAGAAATGCCACGAACAACAACACCACAACAGGCCGAGCAGGTGGTTCTTCCAAAATCTATCAAGTCGCCTTGGTCTCAAAGCCTCCATCGATCGGTCAGTCTGCCATTTTCTGGTTTTTGACAAGCTAACTATAAGATGGCGGGCCTCACCGACAACCAAAAGCTGGGTTTGGCCGTTGCGCAAAAGATAGCCAGCACCTTGTCGCTGTGTGGTTCGAGCTACATCCTTCAAGCGATTTGGAGAGACCCGAGGAAGCGGTCCAAGGTCTTCTACCGGCTGCTGGGATCCATGTCTCTGACGGATGTCTTGTGCTCGACTTGGATGTTCCTGGGGACTTGGGCGGTGCCCCGAGGCACACCGGGGTATCATAATCCAGTGGGAAACCATGCTACCTGCCAAGCGCAGGCGTTCTTCATCTGGTTCAGTGTGACGACGCTGAACTTTAATGCCTGCATTGCGTTATACTACCTCCTCTCCATCCGCTTTGCATGGAAGGAAAAGAGAATCCGAGAATCCATCGAACCCTTCTTTTATCTCTATGCCATTGGCGTTGGATTGGGAGTTTCTCTGCCTGGCTTGTTCCTGGGGTATTATGGGCCCGCCAACTACTGGTGCTCCTCTCAACCCACGGATGTTGCCAAGAACGCCTATCTCATTTGGTACATCCCCGCATGGGTCGTCCTGTTCTTTGTGACCGGTGTCATGATTTCCATTTACGCTCATGTCTTGGCGACGGAAAAAAAGGCGGAGAAGTATTCCTTTAAAAAGTCAATCCTCCGAATCCAGATCGAAAGCGCCGCGATTCAGGGTACATGTAGTGCTTCGTCGGCAACCATAAGAACCGCATTGCGCCACCAAGAAAGCATCCGGCGAACACAGGACCGAACAAAGCAGTCTAGACAGGTGAGTAGCAATGGCGATTAGTTGTGTTGTGTTCCGCTGGCTCTCTTACCATCTGGATCTTCGGAACTCACGTGTTCCTTCATGTAACTATCTGCAGGTGGCTGTCCAAGCCTTCTTCTACTGCATTGCCTTTTACCTGACACTGGTATTCCCAACCACTGTGAGAACCATGCAAGCAACCAAAGGGGAAACCCCATATGCCATTCTGCTTCTCCACTCCTTCTTCCTACCGGCACAAGGGTGAGTAAAGATAGATTGTTTTGATGGTGCCCGAACGTAATGATCTTGTTCAAGTTCAAAAGCACTAACGGATCCCATGTGGTTTGTTTGGTGCAGGTTTATGAACTGTTTGGTGTACATGCGACAAAGGTGGTCGTGTAACAGATTACAAAAAAGCTGTTGCCGTTCCCTTTGTTGGCCGCACGGCAGCAGTGACACGGAAGATGATGACGCCCACAATCAATCCGGTGCTCATTCTTCCAAGCGAGACGAATTTGCTTCCCACAATGAGATATTGGATTTTTTTGATGACGACGAGGACGACGATACCGGCAACAATGATGGTCATGGTGGTCAACCGCAGTGCCGGCTTGAATCAGAAGCGGACACAAAAACAACAAAAGAAACCTCCAGTCTGCAGACCATGGATCCATAGAGGATGATGTGTCCAGTGTGAACCAATTCACCAAATCATTGCATTGAGATTGACCAACTATCTTGCATGGATGGATGCATGAATGCATACCAGTTATTGCAGATGGACTAGGTACATCAATATTTGGGATACCGCACCTGGTGAAAGATTGAATGAGTCCTCAGTCAGAACACTTCGGAGTCCAGTTGAGTCAAGCATTGGAAGTAGTAGAAGGACAATCAGCGGCGCCAGAAAGTGGGTCCTACCGTATTACAGCAACGCTACAATATGCTTACCGTGAGAAAGAGCCCCCAGGCACAGACGCAACAAGCACAACTTCCTCTCACCGGAGTTACGAGCCCACCCATGCTCGTGCTGGGCAGAGCTGTCACTGAAGGACTGCAAATTGACTACCAGTACCAGGCTGGCGAAGCAATTAATCGCTGTGTTCTGCCAGTATGCAACCACAAGGAGACTCGATTCAATCCGTCTCTGAGGATTTTGAGGCACAAAGATTCACAGCCGGCTCAGAATACTTGTGTGGCGCAATCCGTCCCGGTGTGGCCAAGCTGAAGGAGGTGGCATTTCGTCGTGGTCGCAGCTACGGTAGTTACTGTATCATGCAATCGATGCAAAGCTACGTGTAGATTGTCCGACTGTGCTACAAAGGCTACCAGTAGGCCCTCGCCCACGAGGGCGGGATTAGTTTTAAGACGAAGCAAAATATTTGCCTCAAGTCTGCCATTAGACTCCAGAAATTGCGACCGCGCTGACGCTTTTGAGATTGCGGATGGGACTAGCTAGCTGCAGCCACTCAATCTTGATTGCGGATGGGACGAGGAATTGTGATTGTATACTGAGAAGGGTCCCTGGGTGTATCCAATTTCACCAAGGAGAAGTCTCCAATATCAATTTTGTTCTTCCGAGTGATGGCGTCTTCCACCCATACCTGAGAGTATAGAAAATAAGAGTGAGCGATGGATCTATTTGTATGGTACTCGTCCCACTACAGAATAATGGTCCTACCTTGCCCGAGCACGAAATTTTCTCCCGTGTCAATTCTTGCAGCTCTTCGTCTGCTTCATCGTTGGCTCGTTTTTGCTTTTCCTCCAACGCAGGTATGCCAAAGGCACCACTGGCCATTGGTGGTAGATTGTTTCTCGGGGACACCAAGGCTCGCTTTTGGGCTGTGCCTTCCATGACAAGAATGCGTTCTTTCTTTGGTGGTATGACCAACCGAATGCGAAGTTGTACGGTTTCTCCGTCCTCATTGGGTATGATTTTCCATGTGCCCCCGGCCGCCTTATGCTTCGTTTCGGGGTCCAAGATGGGCCCACCCGCTGTGGTTCCATCCACACGCAATACCAGATTTTCGGAGGTGCTGCCATCACCAGCATCTTGCGGTTCAAATCCAGTCGGTGAGGACATGACTTCCCAAAAGCCCACAAACTGGGCGCGGCTTGGAAATGGCTCGATTTCCACTTCTACGGGAGCTTTGGGCTTTTCCGATTCCGGCACCAAAGTACCATCTTTGAACTTTTGAAAGATGGGATTATCTTCGATGGCCACCTTGTCCTTTGCGACGTTCAATCTCTCTTTGGCAATATCGCGTGACTCCACGGCTTTGCGCATCCGTTCAAGAGTCCAATCGTCCAGTTCGTTTTGATCCTCACGGTCGTTGTTGTTGGCAATATTAATTTTAATAGATTTGATATTCTCTTCGCCGTTTTCGATGACATCTTCTTTGTCGTCCTCCTTGTCTTCCTCTTCGTCATCATCGTCATCATCGTACATAGTAATTCCTTTTGCCGCATTGGCTTTTTTGATGCGTTCTTGCGTCCACTCATCGAGTAGAGTTGTATCAATCTTGGGTCGATCGGGGTCTTTGCTTTGATCTACCAACTCTTGGAGATCCTGTTCGACCTCTAGTTGACTGGCTTCCAGAATGTCTTGTTGATAGAGTGTTTCCAACCGGGATCGAGTCTTTTGCAGCATAGGATCCATCTCGTCCACCTCCTCCTGGTTGTTGAAGTCGTTGCTACTCTCATTGCTCATTTCCTTCTTGGCGTCATATTCTGCCTGTTGCATGCGTTGGTCCTGATAGTCCTTGAATTTGGCTTCCTGTTGTGTCATGGCCTTGTTCCCCTCTGGCAATGTGACGACGTTGGCGGGCATGTAAAAGGCATCTTCTGCCAATCCGTCTGGCGACCGTCGAGGATAAATTGCAATTTCCGGCAACCGTGCCATTCCAAAGACATCGTCCCACCAGGTAGCCCAGAAAATGGGCGATATCCCATTGCCTCCTTCTTCGGACGTCCTCGCCAGTTCGTCCCCGTGTGGTAAGGGATCGAGGTAATCCTGAAAGTTGGTGGGGAGACGCATAAAGGGAACTCGAGGCCGAAAGACGGGTGGATTGCTAATCTCCAAGTGTTCATCGGGTGGAAGCGAGGTGGTCCATCCCAGTTGGTCGGCGATGGTGGATTGCAATTCGGCCACGAGGTTTTGAATTCGTACCGTTCCAGGATCATCGGAAAGCGCCACTGTGTGCAAGGCATTGTTCTTGGAGCCATCGACTTCCAAGGACTGAAAGGTGAGTGTCAAGGGACGTACTCCATCGGCATTGACTCCGTCTATGGGATGGTCGTCGTCGTCGTCCGCGGACTCTTGTTTTCTGGCTATTACTGTTGCTATGGAGTCGTCATCATAGACACATTTTTGTACGGCATCTTGTACAATTTTTTCCAAGGATTCCGCGGCCTGTTTGGCAGCCAATGGTGACACGGCAGTTCCCCCTGGTTGATGCACGTAGAGAAGAGGAAGTCGCGTGGTGGCTGGCACCAGACAAGAATGTACGAGAACGGGACAATGGTACAAGATTGCTCGTTGGACCGACTCTAGTTCAATTGACAGCTCATGGCAGGATCCCATGGGAACGGCAATCAAGTGGGTAAAGTAGTTGGGATTCTCGGCAGCCGTAGTCGTGTCGTTCTCCTCTGGCTTGATTTCATTTTCTTTCTTCAAAAAGTCCGAAACGAATCCGTGCATTTGGCTCTTCTCAGGTCCCATCGTGGATTCACCCATTCCATCATCTGTATTCCAGTCATTATTTTCCTCGTCTTGTTCCGGCTGGTTCAATGATGATGCCGACAAGACGGAAGCCGATAACGGTTGATGGCATCTTTTTGCAAGGGGGGCAAATCCCATTGTCGTTCTCACCAAGAGACACCATAGGCAGAAAGTTGAAATTACTAGTGAATATCTGGGAGTTGTCCCCGTCCTCCTTCGAATCAGCGGTCTCATCATGGTCAACATCTTCAAAGAATGATGGTCGAGAAACATAAATGAGGTCAGAACGCAAAATTGATGGTCGGAAGATATCAACCCTATCCCTAAACTATTCACCTTATCCCTAAGCCAATATCTTTTTTGCGACCAAGTTTCGCCTTGCTTCGCCTTCCCTGCCTCGCCTCGTCGGCGGTTCTCTCTTCTGTCGCACAAATTAGGTCTCGACGAAGACTCACTCATCAAGCGAAGCGACCATGGCTCTCACGGAGGAGGTAAAGGCGAAATGGCCCCAGGTATTTGAGGCCATTCGAAAGAGAGACCTTCAGAATGTCATTGACACACTCGCAGCAGCAGATCGTCCCGTTGATTTTGCATCCTGTATCGGCGCAACAAGTGGAATGAATCTGATCCATGCGGCCCTAGATTTCGAGCGCGTGCCCAAGAATTTTTTGTTGCATGAAGATCTTGTCGGCAAGTTAATCAAGTACTACCCTGGAGCCTTGAAGATCAAGGATAAAAAGGGAAACCTGCCAATTCACTATGCTATCAGTATGCAAAACTGTCACCTGAGCCTCATCGAAGCACTCTTGGCATCTTACCCAGACAGCATCAAGCAACAGGACGCCAAGGCGTGTCTCCCCATTCACTTGGCATGCATGTATCGCAACACCCATCTCGTCGAGTGTCTGGTGGAAAAGTACCCTGAGGGATTGAAGCACCCAGACAAGGATGAAATGCTGCCACTTCATAAAGCGCTTCGTCATTGCTGTGATGTTACCACTGTGAAGTTTCTCTTGGACAAGAACCCAGCTAGTGCAGCGGCGAAAGACTTTTCTGGTCAGTTTCCCTTGCATTTGTTATTCCGATTCTATTCCGTTCCTGGTGTCATCTTTTCGTCGCTGACGAACAGTCTTATTGATGCCTATCCAGAGGCTTCCAAACACAAGGCAGTCACTGGGAAATTCCCGCTCGACTATGTTCTCGACAGGGAGAATTTGAGCGAACAAGAACTCCAATTCATTCTTTCACATTGCCATTCGGCAGACTCCATTTCCAATGTGGACGCTGAAGGACGCCTGCCGATCCACATTGCTTGCAAAAAGGGTCGGACCTCAATGGCTATCAAGCTAATGGCCGTGGCCCACCCTGACAGCCTCAAGCAGCCGGACAACTCTGGCAACCTACCGGTTCACTATGCTGCGGCTCACTGCTCTTTTGAGGCCCTTCGGTGTGTCATGGAGTTGTACCCTGAAGGACTTTTGCACAAGAACGTACTCAACAAGCGTCCAATTGCCATGTGTTCCAAAGATCATGATAAATTCCGCGCTTTGGCTGAGGCCTGCCCTGCCAGTCTTTATGACGACGGAGCCGGAAAGGCACCTCTGGAACCACTGATTGAGTACCTCAAACTGTTCAATCTTACGCGTCGAAACAGCTTGCTTCTGGAAAACGTCTTGCGTGCAACGCAACATGGATGTGGCCCTAGCGATACCAAAACTGCCGCAGCCGAGGCTGAGGCTGAGAAACAGCAACAGCTTGCCTCTCTAGCAAAGCAACTTGAACAGTTCCACGCGAAAGATATGACAGAGCTCAACAAGTCCCACTCGAAAGTTATGGCAGAGCTCAAGAAGTCCCACGCCGATGAGAAGCAGCAACAGCAACAACTGCTTGAACAACTGCAGAAGCGGCACAATGAGCTCGAGCTTCGTCAGAAGACAGAGAAGGAGCAGCTACAAGAGTATCATGCAAAAGAGAAGGAGAAGCTACATCAGTCATATGAGGAAGACAAGCAGGAACTACAGCTGTCCCACGAGGAAGAGAAGCAACACCTTGAAGTCTCCCGTACGCTCTACAAGCAGATCGCAGCTGAGGGCCGAAAGCAAGATAAGAACTTCCTCACAAAGGTTGCCCAGGAAGACAGCAAGGTCTGCACTGAAGACTTGAAGTCCTTTGCCACCTCACTCAAGAACCGAATCGACCTGATTTCTTACCGCATTCACCCCGAAGTCAAGCCATCCATGATGCAACTTTTGTTTGACGGCTTCATCACCAATCCAAATGTTGCAAAATCATCTTTGGTAGATTGTGTCCAAATGATGGATGCCGAGCTCACTTGCTTGGAAATTGACATGGAACAAGTCACCTGTGGAGCCAAGGTTCCATCCAGCCCTGGCAGCTCGGATACCGCCAAAGCGAAGGTTCCATCCAACCCTGACAGCCCGGATACCGCCAAATCCTCTGTTGAACCAACGGAACGTCCCACCAAACGGGCTCGCATTTCGCCTTAGAACAAGTGAACCAACGAAACGTCCCACCAAACGGGCTCGAATGTCGCCTTAGAACAACTTTCGAGGCCTTTGCTTTCGATCTTGAGCCGTGACGTGATGTGAAGGGGGAGCGACCGTCCAAAGTTGGCCCCGTTTCTTCCCTCAGGGGAACATGGGATACCTTGTATTGGCCTTTTGGACTATACAGAAGACTCAGATGCTTGTCCAATCGCGGCCAATCGTTCATAGATACATGTAGTTGATAAAATAAACAACTTATTGGAACTCGGCTGCACTAGCTAGCTAGATAGATTGCCAATGCCACAGCATCACGGATCCACGATGCCCTCTCTCGCCGCTATTCAGTTGGTGGTCAATTTACCCTTATCCCTACCGTAGAATTGCCAAGATCTTTCGTGTTAGAAAGGTATTTTCGTATGAGGAAGACGACTCGGGTCCACATCACGGTTCGTGATTGGGGATGTGTGACTCGAATCAGATGGTTATCCGATCATCATCAGATGCCAGGTGTACAAGGAACGAGGACAATGGTCGTCTAGATGATGCAACTACAAAGGTTAGGAAGTTAGGTCGAGAGATGAATGCAAGGAGCGACGGATGGACAAATGAATGGACGGATGAAGGTCCATAGGTTTAGTAAAGTGGAAAGCCCTCCAGGGCCAACCATGACTTCAGGAAGATAGACGACGAGATCTATCTGCAGATGAAACTGCGAGAAACAGAGGATGAAAGATCTGGTATATGTATGCATATCGGAGCTCAGTTGTGAGCTCACAATCTGAACGAGAGAGAAAGAGAAAACGAAACAATAGCCAGTCTACTAGACAGTAGAGCTGAAGGATATTGATTAAATTAGAGAAATTGTGCGTTCAGTTCACACCTTTTCAACACGTTTTAAAACGATAACTATCAGGAAAGAGTGAGTTGGATCAGGTTGTCAAACAAAGAGAAGAATTGAGAATAAGTAAAGATGTCTACGGAGGTAGAGGTTCATCGTCGAGCAAGTATCCCATCTTGATGGGAAAGATGAGAATTCAGGTTCTACAAGGTCAAATGATGGCCCATTTATCAAAGTATGGTACGTAGAACTATGAAAGACTCTACGGAGATCAAACCGGACAACTGGGAAAAACCTACAGGTACGGGCAAGTTGTCGGACGACGAAATAGAAAAGATCGAAAGTCGCAGAAGAAGAACAGAAAGCAGCTGGAATACTGCTGGACTCGACAATGTGGAGACCATCGAAGGCAAGACGCCTTCGACCTACTGGCCTCACACCAAACGACTGACCATGCTGCTGGGAAATTCAAGGGCATGTGGAGTCCATGCTGGATCTCTACATCTGAAGACAGTGGTGAGGTAGCAGCTCGACGAACGAATACTACGATAAAGATGGACATCAAGGAAAACCCAAAGAAGTTCGAGATTGGACTCGACGTGACGCAAGAAGCTAGCGAAGGATGGGTTCAAGATATCGGACGAAGAGTACATCAAGGACCTTCTCGAGAAGATGCCGAAGAAGGAAGGAGAACTCGGAGTATCATGAAGTGAAGAAAGTGTCTGAGAAGGATCAAGACACAGGACATGGGATAACGGTAAAGGGTGTGTGGATGACTTATGCGAAATACATGAGATAAAGCACGGAAAAAGTCAGACGACCACATGGGAAACAGCTTTCATGATTGAGGAAAACATTCAAGGCAGATGCAGGAACTGTGGAAGATCGGACACAAGCAAAAAGACTGCCAGACAAGAAAGGCTCGAACGGAAGAAACTACGGACAAGTACAAGGAAAGTCAAACGGTAAATTCAACAGGACAATGGGAGCAGGGCGGATTTAGGAAAGAAGAAGTTCAGCGAAAGTGCTTCCACTGTGAAAGATTGGGCACAGGAAATGGATTGCCTAAAACTCAAAGGGAACAAAGAAATGTAGAAGGAGCGAAACAGCACAAGAAACAACGGAAGAGATGGCTTCATGACGATGAGCGAAGAATATGCATGCCATGCCGAGAGTAGAGTTGTCAGACGATAAACAGGAGGAGTAGAAGAAGCATCGGAATATGAAGGCAAAGAAAGGGACGCATTCTGGGACATTTTGAAAGGGAGATGACGTGGATGAAGATGGAGAAAGCTTGAGCATTAACTTATGAGGCGATGGAGCCCTTAAATCTCTCCAAAAGAACAACAACGACTGAATAAAGAAGAATCAGTCAAATACAACAAGAACCCAGACGTTACCTATCTGTCTCGAAACAGAGAGCAGGGCAGATTCGACAGCGACACTCCACGATTTAAAGCAAACGCTACAACAAAGAAGTTTCTGAGAAGGAGGAGAAACAACGAACGTCAAATTCCCACAATCTACGAAGACGACAACTACTACAGCTGTTTGAGCGAAGCACGAAGAAGTAGAAGATGTCGACAGATTCCAAGTTGCCCGAACGTGCTAGAGGCACAGCTGTACCGAGTTGGAGTCGACACATGAGAAGATCAGCACATCCAATCCTTGAGCAACCGACATCCATGAACGAGCAACCGAAGGATGGAATTGGACGATTCACACATAACAGGTATACAGTGGAGAGGATCGCGGAAGAAGCATGCCACTAATCCCCGAGTACTAGGGAAGGGCACTCGAGCCCAGAGATGAAGCAACTGGTGGAAACTTCGAACAGTTCAATGGTGCGAGGATGATGCCATACGAGATAAGAACAACCCCCATCTCGGGAGCTCCAGGCGGAACTGCTAGGTTGGGTCAGCAGTTTGTTGTCTTTCGCGATTGGACTCCAGACACGACAATTATCGCAGTGATGTTAACGGCAAGATAAAGCGCGGACAAAACGTCGGCGAAGGAACAGGAACGAGGAATGTTCGGGTTAACGGCATTCAGCATTCCCGAAGTAGAAAGTGAAGTATGTAACGGAGATGTCGCACATGCTCAATACAATCGGGATTGAAGGTGCACGTGGATATGCCACTATTGGGAGAAGGGGATTCGCACAACCCATGCCAGTGATTGTACGGTGGAAGCGCTTGATTTGGTCAGCTGCTCGTGGAGCAGACAAGCAGAAGTATGCGCAACGAGGCAATCAAAAACTGCAGAAGGAAGGATTAACCAGAGTATGATGCTCGGAAAGGAAGATTTTCGAGTGCGAACTCTATCCTACGGAATATGGTATCCCAAGGGTCCAGCCGATCGCATTTACCTGAACAACAACGTCGCAAGCCAATGGGCGAGCTGCTGACATATGCTTGTTGGGAGGGACGACACAGTCCAGGACTGGTAGGGATCAGAGACGAGCTCATCCTCAAACTATCTAGCGCAGACCACCGGAACGAAAGGGAAGGGCTTTTATGTTTATGTTGGGTCAGTATACCAAGGACGGACCTGGATGGCAGAAGATCGGGCAAAACTATTGGCATAGCGTTTGAACTTTGCGAGTGATCACCCTACCGATGGTATCACACATCCACGTTACTACAAGGATTGGACGCATCAACTTTTCAGTACCAACGAGATGGACTGACACCGATCGTGATCGAGAACTCCCCCGGCATCGACATGCTATTGAATGCTGGCCTAGTCATCACAAGGACAAGTGAGTCACTTTGTGGACGCCAACGTGCAGACAGGAATGCAGTGATCATCCGTCAGTTACCATACTTCCCACAGCGTCGCGTAATGTGGCTCAGTTAAAGCGTGGCAGTCGGAAGGTTCGACAGGCAAGGAAGAAGCGCTGGAAGATGTACAAGGTAATAAAGAAGCGATGAGTATGTTGTTCACCATGAGGTCAGGAGAAGGTTTCAGCCGGAGCACATGATTGCAGACAGTGGTGCATCAACTCATATGGGCAATTGGACGATGGAATGACTGTATGTGGAAGAAATTGATGAAGGAATCAAGGTTGGAAGTGGGACAAGATCCGAGCAGTAAAGAAAAGGAACGATCAAGTTAAGGCAATGCAACGTGATGGCACAACGTATGACTTGACACTGTCGGATTACAAGTATGTCCCCAACCTGGTGTATGTTTATTTAGTTTGTCAAGGCAATCCAGAAGGTTGGAGATCTCGAATAAAGGAACCAAGATTGTCTTGACGCAACGCAACCACGAATAGTCTTTGATAAAATTAACTCAAACAAAGACGGATATCTTTGCGCATTGATCTCTTCCCACAGGACATGCCACAAGAGAGCAATTACGCGTGCACGATGACAACGGCACTGGAGGCGACTGAAGAGAACTTCGCCAAGTGACACTGTGGATACGCCCAAGTCGGAACACCAAGTAAGGTGAAGTACTGGAAAACAACGACCTCCACAGAAACTGGGACATGCGGTGAAGCCGCACTACGCAGGACAGCACATCAGTACGGTGGAAGCTCACAGGGACATTAGAACCATGTTCTCACTGTGGAGCAGGACGAGCAAAACAAGCCCGTAGCCAAGGAGACTTCAACGACATCAGAGATCCCTGGAGAACGAATATTTATAATACCTCGTCTGTGGATGAATGCACGTCACCAAGGGAGGAAATATTGGTGGCGATTATTGATGTATGCTACCAGTATGCGATGGAGTAGGATCATTCAGACCAAACGCGATGTCATCCTTAAGTCAAGAACTTCATTCGAGTATGGATCCAGGGCACCCAGTACACTACATCCGGAGGACGATGCAGGAGAAACAAGAAGCTGATGACGGATGTGAAAACGCGATTGAACCATGTTTGAGACGGGTTAAGTTTGAGTTAACTGGACGAGAATACGCCTCAACAGAACGGAAAGGTAGAACGATGGATTGCAGTAGGCACCGATCGGATTCGGGCCATGTTCCACGAAGCCGGTTTTGATGAGAAGCAACGAAAGTTTCTCTACGGAATGCAGTCATGCACGTCACTGACGTTGAGAATGTACTACAGTCAGCATCTCATGACAATCCAAGCTACCGCATGTTCTATGGAGAAGACATTCCACAGTTATCCAAGTTGCGACGATTGGAGAAGTTGGATACGTCAAGTTTGTTGGAAAGATCAAGGGAAACTACAAGATCGTGGATTACCTATGCTGTATCTTGGAAGAGCACGGAATCACAGTGCAGACACGTACAAGATGTAAATATCGCAACAGGGCACAAGTGCTCACACGCGATGTGATCTGGATGGACAAGACGTATGCCGAATGGAAGGGTATGGGTCTACCCAGCACAGCAGAAAACTCACACATATTGGAAAAGATAAACTCCTCAGCGTCCTACCTACAGAAAATCGGGAATCGAACTCTCATGATCTGCTCCTTAAGCCCACGAAGACTACCAAGGCAGGAGCAATCACACTAGAAACCAAGAAGATTAATAAAGTTCTCGCGATCCCAACAGCCAAACCACCTGACCCGGTCGCGACCAAACTATCCAAGGCAACGCGGGAACTACAGAAACTCAGTGCGAGCTACAACCCCCAGGCCCTACAGACACTGGACAAGCTAGCGCGGTACAACCTCATGACGGGGGCTCCCTCATGCAAGCACTTTCGGACGATGCATCCGAAGGAGGAGAGAAGATAACAGCTCAGCACGAACAACCGGAATCACCGCCAATGACAGAAATGGCAAACTTTTCGACGATTCCAATGACAGAACAGTTTTGGGAACGCACATGAAGACTGGATGGAGTTTGGTACACGGCATCAGAAGTAGATTTGACGGGAGGACTAGACAGGCATCCATTGATCAAGAACTCTGCATATACCCAAGGACTCAGGATCCAGCAAAGTACAAGTATCTGTTCACCAAACCAAGCACGTTCGAGGAAGCTTGGGACCACCCGGAACCATTTCAGCGAGAGAAGTGGAGAGAGGGATCAAAGGCGAGCTAGACAAGAAGGAGAAACTCAAGGTCTGGCGCAAGATCAAGAGATCAAGAATGGAGGAAGGGAGACGATGTGTCAAACACAAGGGTGCTGAAATCAAGCGGAATGGAAGATTCAGAGCTAGATTGGTTGCCTGCGGCTACAGTCAGTACCCGGAATTGATTTTGACAAACATCTACAGTCCGGTGGCTAACGACATCACCTTCCGCATCATCTTGATTCTACTACTAAAGAAGATGGAAGAGCGAAGGCAATTATCTTCGATATTGAGACAGCATTCCTACATGGAGACATGGACGTAGTCATCTACATGGACTGCCCAAAAGGACTAGAACACCAAGAGACATGTGTCATACTGGACAAACCATCTAGGGCTTGCAGAGCGCACGACAGTACTATCTTGAAGTTTGCGAGTGTTGGAAGACTTAGGATTCGTACTTCCTAGTGATCCATGCCTCTTCATGCGGAACAAGAATGGGAAGATATGCGTGATTCTATGTTACGTGGATGACAATCTCACCATTGGAGAAGAAGACATATCAAGGAAGTGCTTCAAGGATTAAAGATCGAGGCTGAACATGACCATAGAGTAGAACTCACGGACTACCTGACTGTGAGATTCGGATGAATCCCCGAAAGGATGCTGCATGGGTGGGACAACCTCACATGATCAAGAAGATTCAAACCACATTCGGAGAGGAGGTACAGAAGCTACCCAAGTACAAGACTGCGGGAACACCTGGACTCGGAATAGTAAAGACAGACGAACAGAGCGAATGGATCGCTGAAGAACAACAGAGCAGATATCGAACAGGAGTAGGCATGCTCATGTACCTTATCAAGCATTCAAGCCAGAAATCTCGAACGCGGTACGAGAGCTAGCTAAGGTCTTGGGATGCGCAACGCCAGCAGCGTACAAGAAATGCTACGCTGTGTAAATACGTTTGGACTCAAGGAACCGTGGACTTTTGATGAGACCAGAGAAGAACGAAGGACCGTGGAAAATGGAAGTATTCTCGGATTCGGATTGGCCGGAGACAAGAACAACAGAAGATCAGTCACGTCATGATGATCTTTCTCGAAGGTGTACTCATTCACTGGAGGTCCAAGCTACAGAAGGTCGTAGCATTGTCGAGTTCCGAAGCTGAGTTCTACGCGTGTGGCGAAGCAGCGAGAAGTCCCGTCATCGCGCAGATTCTGAAGTTCTACAAGATCAACGTGGAACTACTGTGCAAGTGAAGATCGATAACTAGGTGCTATCTTTATGTCAGAGAACAAAACAAGTGCAAGTCGAACAAAGCATATGGATACGAGGTGGCACTACGTGAAACAAATGCAGCAGGACGGCCTAGTGAAGATTGATTTCGTTCGCTCGGAAGACAACGTGAGCGACATTGGAACCAAGAATGTCAACGTCGAGACCCTCGACAAGACATGCACCGAAACTGAAAGGAGACAAGGAGCAATTGGTTTGAGTTGGTAAGAAGGTCGCTGCCATCATCGCGAAAACAGGAAGGGTGTTAGAAAGGTATTTTCGTATGATGGACAGACGACTCGGGATCCACAATCACGGTTCGTGATTGGGGATGTGTGACTCGAATCAGATGGTTATCCGATCATCATCAGATGGCCAGGTGTACAAGGAACGAGGACAATGGTCGTCTAGATGATGCAACTACAAAGGTTAGGAAGTTAGGTCGAAGAGATGAATGCAAGGAGCGACGGGATGGAACAAATGAATGGACGGATGAAGGTCCATAGGTTTAGTAAAGTGGGAAAGCCCTCCAGGGCCAACCATGCACTTCAGGAAGATAGATCGACGAGATCTATCTGCAGATGAAACTGCGAGAAACAGAGGATTGAAAGATCCTGGTATATGTATGCATATCGGAGCTCAGTTGTAGAGCTCACAATCTGAACGAGAGAGAAAGAGAAAACGAAACAAATAGCCAGTCTACTAGACAGTAGAGCTGGAAGGATATTGATTAAATTAGAGAAATTGTGCGTTCAAGTTCACACCTTTTCAACACTTTCGAGGCCGCAACAACACAGCAACACCACCACACTCTCTTGGCTCTTTTGTTTTGTCCTCTCTATCAGCATTCCTCTTACATTATCAACTAATAAGAAACCATGGGAAACTCTGCTTCTTCTTCGTCTCCATCGTCTACCAGCAGAGCCTCGGAAGGCTTTGAAGTGACTTTGAGCGATAACTTTCAACAAACGGTGCTCCAGGATTTCAACGCCAAGGTCCATGCCCAATACATGCAAATCAAAGAGCAGCAACAGATTCATCAACAGGCCAATTCGGAGCAGGCAAGACAGAATGAACTATTGCAACAGCAAAAACAGGCCGCCATCCAACAACTCGACAAGCGATTGGATGCTTTGGAGGCAGATTTTGACCAAAAAGTAAAAGCCGCCGATGGTGCCGCGTTGACCTTGACCCAAAAATATGTCAAGCCAGAAGAGGTAGGGAGCGCAAGAGAAGAGGAAGTATCTATGTATAGATATTTGCACTCGTCATACTCACAGATAGTTGTTTGTTTGTTTGAACAGATTCTAGGCAAAGAAGCCCCGTGTGCCGACGTCCGTAGCAGCTATGCTTCTTGTCAAAAGAGCAATCCACCAGGTGCCTGTGCCATCTACATACAAGCCCTGCAAGATTGTGTGACCAAAGCTGTCGCAGAGAAATAGAAAGTTAGAAGCAAATCCATGGATAGCTGTAACTACAAAACTACCCTATGGTACAATCGACTGTGGGTTCATACCGGTAGCTAGCTTGTAGCTATAGTGAAACAGTTATCTTTATTGTACAGCAAAATTGCACACCCAGCCAACGCTGGAATTGTTTACATGTCTGTGTTTGAGCTCTCTAGCTAGTGAGCCATGTGTCGTCTTGGCCGGGAATGATTCAATCACTGTGACTTCTATTCAATCAGTTTTCTTTGTCATGCCTCCCATGTTTCCCAAACATCTCTATGCAACATTGAACAACCAACCCTGGAATTGTTTACATTATGTACAAGTCCTTGTTTGGCTTGTCTGACGGCTCTAGCGAGCCATGTGGTGTCTTGGCTGGGTATCCCTTTGACCTCGATTGATAATAGTCTTCATATCTCCACTTGTAGTCTTGTCCTGCACACGTCTTTTGTATTCCTCATGTTCATCAGAGGACCAAATAGATGATAGAAAGAGTAGGTTTACCTTTGATTTGATTTATTCTATGCATCGGTGGCTGCCCCCACAATAAGTTGCTTTGGAAGGTATCACTGCTGAACTGATTTGATGAAACTTTCTTTCGGGAGAGTATTTGCTCAAACGAGCAAGCGGACAAAGTCACTCAAAGCATCAGGCTCCAAGCTTTGAAAACTGAACTAGCGACGCTCCTTGTCTCGTCGTCGATGATTGTCGTTTCGCCTTCGATCGTCGCGGTCAGATCTTTCACGATCAGGTCTAGGCCCATCTCTTTCATGCCTAGGTGGACCACCTCCACCATCGCGGTCTCGATCAGATCTAGGTCCGTCTCTCTCATGCCTAGGTGGACCACCTCCACCATCGCGGTCTCGATCAGATCTAGGTCCGTCTCTCTCATGCCTAGGAGGACCACCTCCGCCTTCTCGGTCTCGATCAGGTCGATTGCCCGAAGGCCCATCGCGTTCACGGTCAGATCTTTCGCGATCCGGCCTAGGGCCATCTCTCTCATGCCTAGGAGGACCGCCTCCGCCATCTCGGTCTCGATCAGGTCGATTGCCCGGAGGCCCGTCACTGCCACGGCGAAACGGCGGGCCTCTGGGTGGAGGTCCTCCTCCGGAAGGACCATAGTGGCCAGAATCACGAAAGTCCATTGGAGGACCACCACGAGGAGGCATGGGCGGGCCTCCTCCTCCTGGTCCCCCACGAGGAGGAAAATCATAATCGGGAGGTGGCGGACCATGTCCATGCCAACCGCCAGGACCAGGAGGCATTCCTCCACCTCGCCTCTGATCGCCACGACGATCATTCTCATTATGACGACCGCTACCATCGCGCTCTCGTCGGCGGTCACGGTCCCTTCTGCTGCGAGAGCTCTCGCGATGATCCCTGTCACGATGGTGATGGTCCCGATCGGATCGGTGTTTATCGCGTGAAGATTTGTCTCGATCTCGTCGACTGCTGCTACCAGAGCGTTCCTTTCTGTCGTTGCCATTGGGCTCTTCTCCGTCTTCGGCAGCTCGACCTTCCTTATTGCTGCTTCTACCACGGTCTTCAACTTCCTCTTTGCCCTCCTTGTTTTTGTTGCGTTCATCCTCGCCGCCACCGCCACTACCAGAAGCCATAGGGTCTTGTTGTCGTGTGTCTTTGTTGTCCTCTGGGACTTCTCCTTCGCTCTGCCGTCGCTTAAGCTCTCGTTCTTTTCTACGATCCTCAGACTGCTCCTCCCCATCACCGTCGCGGTGTCGCTTTCGGTCGCTTCGGCTTCCATCACGGTTTCTGTCGCGATCATCATCTCCTTCCCTGCGTCGGCTGGACTTGCGACGATGATGATCTCGGTCAGATCGATCACGGGTTTTGTCCTTGTCCCTATCACGGTCCCGGGAAGACCGACTCTCTTTGTAGGCATCGCTACGATCACGAGAAGACCTGTGATGACGGTCCCTAGACGACCTTTCGCGTCTATCCCTGTCTCTGGTGGAAGATTCTTTCTTGTCGCCATTGGGTTCTTCCCCGTCTTCTGCGGGAGCCTTGCTGGAAGAATGTCGCTTTTCATCTCCTTCGTCGTAGTCTCGCCTTCGCTTCCTGTCGCGTTCCTCGTCATATCGATCGCGGTCTCCGCGGTCTCGTCTGTCTCGCTTTCGGTCGTACTTGTCAGATCGACGTCCAGATTCACCCTCTTTGCGTCGCCGATCCTCGTCGCCACCACCTGAAGCCTTATCTGGATCGATCCGTTTACCATCATCCCTTGCCGAAGGCCCGTCGCTTCTGTTGCTACGTTCCTTGCGCTCCTTTTGCCTCTCTTTGCGATCTTTCATGGAAGTGCCAAAGGCGTCAATGCCCTCGGCTGCTACCTTCTTCATAAGCTTGCGGTAACATGCATCAAACTGCTCTTGGGCTTGCTCATCGTTCATTCCTGCCGCCTTGGCGTTTTCACGGGCTTTCTCGGCCTCTGCCTTGGCTTGACGACGCTTCTGCTTGGTTTGGAATTCATGGAAATGACTATGAACTTCAATGGGACCCAAATCTTCAGGACGCTCGGGAGCGATGGGCTCGGTGAGGAAATATCGACTGTTCAGTGCCCGTTCCGCGGACAACCTCTTTGCCGGATCCAATTCCAACAGTTTCTCCAACAGATTCAAGGCGGGCCCTGACATCTTTTTGAAGTACTTGTTTCGGAGCTTTGGCAATTTCCGCTTGTCGTCTGCGGGAATTGTCACTTGTCCAGTCCGAAGAAGTTTCAAATCATTCAACCCATCCCAACTCTCCGGTGAGGGTGTCCCCAACAAATCGAATATCAGCTGTAGCTGATCCATCTCCGTCTTGCCCGTGAACAGAGGCTTCCCCAGCAACAACTCGGCCAGAATGCACCCCGCACTCCACACATCCACAGGAGGCCCGTATCTGGTAGCACCCATCAAAATCTCCGGTGGTCGATACCACAAAGTGATGACCTTGTTGGTGAACTCTTGTGAAGATGCCCGACTGTGTCATCACCAAACCACATCCAATGACCACCAGCAAAGGACCGCCAACCCAACCCCAACAGGAACCACCACACCGCCAACCCAACCCGACGCCATCAAGAACCACCACACCACACCACCAACCCAACACCACACCGACAAGAAAAAAAGAAGAAACAACGCAGTGTGAGTGACGAGAAGCAAAACGCACAAACACAAGAGCCCAGCCATTTTTTGGCTGGACCCAACACAGCAAACGAACGAAACGAGAAAAAGCAAAAGCAGGAAACGATATTTTGGAACGAAGAAAAAATGCTGGTTGGACTTGGATCCATACAACATTACTTACTCGTGTAGGTTATCCAAGATAGGTGGCTCAATACAGCGTGCCAAGCCAAAATCTGCTAGCTTTATTCTGAAATGATGATCCAAAAGTATGTTGGAAGATTTAATATCCCTATGAACATATTTGTTTTGATGCATGTACTGTAATGCTTCCAGCAATTGCCGGAATACGCATTTGACTTGTACAGGCGTAAATCGGTAGGCCACATCCATCAGCCCTGTCAAATCATGAGAGACATATTCCAAAACTAGGAACAAATTACCCTTGTAGCCCTCTCGGGCATCCACAACGCGATCTTTGGATTTTTTTTGGAATCGCACATCCGTCGATTCATCCTCCTCGTCCAAATGCTCCACCCCTTTGCTGCTCACCACTTCCATCATGCGCACTAAATTGGGATGTTGCAAACGCTTCAATATTTTGATTTCGCGAATAACTGTGGGAGGCATTCCCCAGTCTTTACCATGATGGACACGGATTTTCTTCAGTGCCACAATCTGATTCGTATCTTTGCAGCGGGCTTTGTACACTTGCCCGTACGTGCCCTCTCCGATTTGTTCCAGCCGCTCATAGTGCGCAATGGTCCGTGTCATTTGACTCCAGTGACGTTCTGGAAATTGTATGGGTTTTTCAGTTTGGCGACCATTGTTCGAGTTGTTGTTGTTGCTGAGGAAGGATGGGGCTGTTGGGGCGTGTTGCGGGCCGGCAGCAGCAGCTGAGGAGGACGATGGAGGACCCGAAAACGCAGGTCCGCCCAACGCATTTGGTTTTGGGTTGGCTGACATGGCTGTTGCGCTGTCGACGCCTCCCTGCCTTTTTGTGATTTCCCTCTCTCTCCTCTCTCAAATGGCGTGTACTGAGCGGCGGTTGTTATTTCCAAGTCGACCACAACCAATGGCGGTCAGAGTTTAGTTCATTGTTGGGCAGCAGCAGCTGAAGTGAATTCACAACAGGAGCGCAAAGCGTCTTGCTGTTTGGCACCAAAGGTCACCTGACGGAAGACGGCAAGACGCTATCTTGTTAAACCAATGTGCGTCTGGCTAAAATGGATCTTTTTCTTTCGATGATTATTCGGTCAGCCAAAGTTCAATTCGATTGAGCCAATTCGTGCCCCCACCACAAAAAAAACGATTGAGGTGCCGTGCTGGTACGGTACCGATAGCATACGATGTACCGGTACTGGTGGCGCTACCGCTACCAGTACCAGGTACTACGGTACTACCGGTAGTGCACTGTACCGGTACGGTACTACCGGTATATGTATACGCGGTATTAGTTTCTAAAGTTTCGCACCATCAAGCAAATCGCTGGTCCAGGCACTGCCGTTGTTTGGGTAACGGTAGTCTAGTACTAGTAGCTAGTACCGTAGACTACGGTACCGGTACTATTACATGTACCAGGTACTAGTAGTGCTGTACTACATGTACAATAGTTTAGTTTCGCGCCTCAAGCTACATCGATATCGAGGCACTGTCATTGTGGCTTGTGCAACATTTCGCTTTGATACGGAAACAGTGAAGTCAATCCTTCGTCCGAAGGAAGATGGAGGATTGTTGGTGTCTTCCTTTTAAAATTAATCGACCCCAGCCTGACAAGCAAAAGGACTCGATTCTCAAAGTTGCCCCAACCACTCTTAAAAGCTTCGTCGCACAGACCAAACTTCCGCATTCCGCACCCCCTTCCCCGTTCCCTCCAAGCATTCACCTTCTGAGTCAGTTTGAGTCGAGCCCAGTCTTTCATCCATCAGCGTGCATGCAGCAGTTCATTCTTGTGGGAGTCAGCCCAGAGGTCCTGCTTTGGGTGGGTCGAGTGACAGTCTTGCTTGGGAGTCTTACCGGTCACACTTACTTTGTCGTGGTACTGTACGGTAGACCCACGGTAGGGTAGAAGCCTCCGTTTGAGAAAGCTTGCTCACAAAAAATCAACTCCACTCATCAAAACACTTCAACACACAATGCCAAATATCATCCTCAAGAAAACCTTCAAGGTCAAGCCCGCTGGATTCCAGGTTGCCAATGAGAAAACTTTTTCCTTTCATGGGGGGGTCGCTCCCACCATGATTGAAGCTGTCAATCAAAAACTAGCATCCATCAGATTGTACGGGAGGTCAAATCGTATACAGTTTGTGCTGGGCCCGACTGGGCACTATCAATGCGCTATGAATCATGACTTTCAAAAGTACCACGAAGAAGACGCGGTCGTTGCCATATTGGATGTGATGGAACTCCTGGGATGGACCTTCAGATTCCAATATGATTCCGAGTCCCATTCAACCAAGGTGAATGGCGCATCCTTTACCTCGAGAGAGCTCTTCATATTCAGCAGATCAACATAGAAACATAGAAACAGACAAGTACAAGACAGAAAATACAACGATATAGATATAGATCCCCAGTTTTTCAAAGCACAGTCCACCAGCTGAAGAGCGGCTTATTCCTTTTTGTAACCACACCAAAATATCGAAAGTTGCCTTTCTTGCTTGCGTGTCTCTAGTAGTATCATGCCACAATTTAGAACAAGAAGAGAAAAGCCAGCTCAATCACAATCACGATCGAGAACATAGCCCCACATCAGCCCGATACCGGGACAGCGTCGTGAGCGGTGACCTCCTCTTCAATGATGTCCTTATCAATTCTTTCAGCTTCAACTGCCTCGTCATCCCTCTCTTCCTTTGACAGTTGTAGCCTCCTCCTCAGATCCACTGTCTTGCCCTGTGATAAACGAGTAGGATCCCCCGTGGGTGCATCATCGGGACGAGGGCCATGAGGAGGTGTCCTCCATTTGGGCGATGATTCATCATTCCTTCCATTCTGCCCGACAAATCAGTTGGGCTCGAAGCCATAGAAAGGCTTTGGTCTTCGCAACATCTCCAACTCTTGGATCCCTTGGTGGCCCTGTTCATGAGCTCTGCATGATGGATGTGCAATGCCTGGACTTTGCTGTGACTGCAGAAGTCAGAAGCTTTTTCAGAGAGCTGCGCCCGAAAGAAGCATTTTTAGGAAGCTGCTGGATGAAGCACGTGGACACGTGGACTGCACTCGGCCCCTCGCAGCCACAAGAGCGATCTTGCCCTGACACCCATCAACGATCTTCCGATCTGCCCAAGCAACTGCCAAGTGTCCTTCAATGATTTGCAAGGTGAAGTGCTGCAGCAGTCGCCGTGATGTTCAGCTGCCGTTGCTGCTGTCACTATGGGTGTCATTTCGGCCCATGGTGTCGGCGCTGACAGCTCCCGCTCAGCAGCTTCGAGAACTGATTGCACAGTCTCGAGATCGGGCCATTCTCTTGCCAGGTGTCCACGATGCCCTTTCCGCTAAGATCTTCCAGCAACAATCTGCCGAGTGCTTGTTTCTGTCAGGATTTGGTGTGTCGGCCTCTTTTCTGGGGGCTCCTGATGCCGGAATCTTGACCTTGTGTGAAATGGAAGATACCGCACGTCGTGTTGTGAACGCTGTGGAAGGCAAAATCCCAGTATTGGTGGATGGCGACACGGGTTATGGAGGATGCTCCAACATGAGGCGAGCCATTCGAGGTCTGGCTCGTGCTGGGGCCGCTGCCATTTCCATTGAAGACCAAATATTTCCCAAAAAGTGCACCTACAGCGCTGGCGAAAACGGAGCCGCCGTTGTGTCCCGCAGTGCCTCCATTGCCCGCATCAAAACAGCTCTGGCTGCAGCCAAAGAAGCGTACGAGCAAGATGGAAATGATGTGCTGATTATTGCAAGATCAGATTGCCGTGCTTCGGAGGGGCTGGAACAAGCCATTAGTCGGTGTTTGGAATATGAAGAGCTGGGGGCTGACATTGTGTATGCCGAGAACCTACAGTCTCCGGAAGAATATCAAACCTTGCGTGGTTCCTTGGCCCCGACAACCCCCACAATTCTAGCTCAAGTCCAACTCAATGACCCCAACAGCGAGCAACGACTATATTCTCTGGAGGAGGTTCATCAGTTGGGTTACAACTTGGCACTATTTGGGGTTACAGCACTTCAGGCTACGGTTCATGCATTGCAAGAAACGGCTTCCGCCATGCGACGTCATCAAGGAATCCTTCCTGGCAGCAACGACAACCAATCTCCTTCTCTCTCGTCGTTTTCAAACCTCAAGACTGTGGTGGGTTTCCCAGAATTGGAAGACTTTGAACGGGAGTACTTTTGTGAATAGCTAGAGAAGCCCGAGCGCGGAAGGCATGCATGTTACATCTTTAAAATAGAACAGCACTAGCTCGCCCTTCTTTCCGGGGCTCGTCTGGCCCGTACTCCAAGCGCCGTCCTTTGCGCAAACAGCGTGACACCAAAGCTACGAGGCTCATGTGCTCGATGAATTTCTCGTGGAAAGTAAGGCCAGTGAGCGTTTCTTGGATCAACCCTGTCAAAACAGTAGATTGCATTGGGGAAGAAGATATGACGATCTAAGCGATGAATGGTACCGGTATCGTGAAGATTGAGTCTGCGATCCCATGCCACACCAAATTTCTCGTACCAGAAGGTCTTTCGTCTCGCGTCGCCTAACGCTGTCTTTTGTAGAAATCCTTAACCTCCAGACACCTGAGAGTGAGGAGCTGACTCTCTGCCAGCGGTAGAATACCTCTGAAGATGGTTTACCACAGACTCCCTGTCAACGGGGTGCGCCGAAGAGCCCCTGTCAACTATCGATGCGTGAGGCGAAGAAGAAGATACTCCAGAGACCTTCACACCAGCAATCGTGCCCCTCAACTCTTGTTTGTTTGATGGAAAGTGGACCTTATACATCTTCGGCACCATGATCAATCCGAAAACCGTCATTGGGAATGACCAACACATCATAACAGATCCGATGTATCGCCCATCAGAGGAAACACTTTCAAGGATTACAACAGTCGGAACACCAACCAGGATGACCTAAGGAAGGCGCAAATGTTTAGTTGCCAGATTCAAAACCAGGCCTCACCAAAATGCGACAACGCATGTATGCACAAGCTTCTCACCTGGGTTTGGAGTAGCATGAGACCAAAAATCCACTTTGCTTCCGAGTACGACTCGTCGACGTCCATAGTCTTCCAAGCAAAGATTCCTGTAAGGAGCATTGATATAAATGTGACCAATGCAACCCCTATCCAAAAACCGTAGTTGGCATCTCCAGTACAGAGTCCAATTGATTCCCCCGTCGTCTCCTCAATTTCTACCCTATCCCATGCATAGTTCGTTGTGGCAGTCCAGACTGAAAGGAGAACTACAGCCAAAACCTCCAATAACAGAGCTGGCCAAATGACATGAGAAATCTTTACTTGTCTCCTGGAGAACTGCAGCACTTCGTGCACCCTCCACTTTCGTTGCAGCCATGGGAAAAGCATAAGATGCCAAAATACTAGCGTACTGTCAGAAAACACAAATCATGCACTTACCATCTGTCCATGGAAGACCAAAGTTAGACGCATCGAAGGCTGATGCCAAATCGATCCCAAATTACGATGTACTTTACCTTTGTAAATAATGCGTTGTACGTGACCATTTGTCCCATAAAAACAAACCAAGGAGCGGCCAGGCACAGTCCTGTCAGTTGTTCCGCGCTCCAACCATCACTTTCGTCGAACGATATTGTAATAATGGCCAGCGATGAAACTGTGGCACCGGCAAGCATGTACAACAAGAAGACCGGCTGCGAGGCTGCAACTACTCGATGATTCCAGTAGACAAATATCCACACCACAGAGATCAGAATTGCCAGCAAAGCTATGCCCATCATCGCAAATCCCATGGCTTGCAAACCAGGGCTCAAGTAGTTCTGATCAGCTGGTTCACGCAGCGGGAGCGGGGGAACAGCGCTCCCATTGACATAGATGAATTGATTAAATTCGAGCCATTCTCCACCTGGCATACGAACGTCAGTAAATCTGAACAATTCCCTGTCGGAAGTGGGACGAGAGACAAGTAGCGTTGAGAAATATCTTCGTAGAAGCAATGCGATGATACAAGCGTGAATACGCACCCCTCGAATCCATCTGGGAATAAATTGGTTACAACGTAAGGAACCGTACTGCCCACCCGGTTGCCTGGAAATACATCTCCGAACAGTACTTTTCCCGAGGCACCATGAAACGTAGACGAACGAATCGCATCCTGCAGGACATCTCCAACGAGCACCCTAGTGTTGCCAATCTGCACTGTTGCATCAGGCGCTTTCGCTTCGGTCATATTCAATGCATTGCAAGCTCCAATTCCGACAGCCATTATGGCGTCGTACACGTTGACGGTCCCAGAGCTTGGCATCGAAGTGAAATTCAGGGGCCTCGCAAACAAATCGCTTGGAGGGAAGTCACCATCTGGGATATCGTCTTCGCTAAACCAACCAATAGAAAGCCCGAATTTCAAAACCTGGTTCCATTCTTCCTCGTACTCGTGCGCCTTGATCGGATTGATTGCCAACAGTTGCTCTATGAAAGTGTCGTTCAGGCCCATCCACTCTTCCAGGAAGGACGAAGAGTGGTCTTCCGCTGTATCGTTATGGAAAAGTTCACCCGACTTGAGATACGCTGCATTTTGGAGGAACGATACATCCTGCTGCTCATGTTCGTCGAGCATGAAGATTCTGGACAAATTGGTTTGATTGAATGGCCCATCCAGGTCCCAGATGTTGGGAATGACCCAGAGATGGTCGCCTTGATCCAGTTGCAACTCATGGGCAGCATGGCCCGTATCAAGGAATTCGCCATCAAAATCTGGCGTGATCCAGACAATTGTTCGGAATCCTGTAGCCTTAACCTGCTCCAAGGCAGCAAGTATGGCTCTGTCTCCATAATAGTCAGAAACGTCCAAGGATATTGTTGGGGAAACGTATCCGAATGCCTCGATGCGTGTCATGTCTCGCCTACTGGCCTCCACTCTGAAGGCTTCCACTCGTTTCACGGCATTATCCGACGACGCGTCGTAGAGAATTGTAATGAAATTCGTTCTTTCAGTGCGAACAAGATAATCGATCAAGAACTCAACATCGGAATAGAGATCTGCGTTTATCTGGTTGGCGAACGGATGCTTCTCTGGTAAATGTAAATTGTGGTCAATCCCTCGATGGGATATCATGGGTATCCGGAGCGTGGTGGCCGTCACACTAAGCTCATTCGCGGGAATCACATTGTAGGGCCCCACAATGGCACTGGGCAATGGCGTGCCGTCAGCACTCTGAAATCGTTCCCACACTGCGTTCATGGCATTGCTCTCCACAGTCCCAGTGTCCATCAACAGCAGCGATTCAAAATCTATCTCAATAGGACAGTGTTGCATCTGAGGAGACGCCAATTCAGGAACTATGGCAATGTTTCGTGCATTAAAGTGATTGATCGCCATAATGGAAGCTGCCAACTGATAGAACCCAGGATTCAAGTAAGGGCTGCCTTGATAGGTTAAGGGCAACGCCAAAAGCAGGGAGACCTTGGTGCCATTGATGATGCCTCCTTGTATAAAGTTTCCTGGCAATAGTTCTCGGCATTCCTTTCGACTGGTACCGGTAGTGTCATCAGGGGTATCTGAGGTGGGTGTTGTTTCATTGTCGGCACCGGTATCCGACGGTATCACCGCCGAACCACCATATTCCGAAATGGCATCAGTGTTGCTATTCCTGGAAGGTTCGTCATTCGTGTTGTTCGCGTCTCCTTGACCAATAACCCGCCATGCTGAAATGAAGCAGACGGTCAACAGCAGTCTTATTCGGCTCATTGGGAAATCAGACAAAGAAACAGAGTTGTGCGATTCTACTAGCAAGCAGCCTAAGAGCATGCGCGCTGGTGTGAAGCAAAGCAAACAGCTGTTTTGACGCAAGTGATGCAGACTCGCAGCCAGGCTATGCTTGCTCGCTAAATTTATCGAATTTACGAGTCTTGTGTCAAATGCGACATTTTAGTGACAATATAATTTTTTACTTAAGGGATCTGTTTGCGGCAACCTTTAAATCCATCGATTTTTCACCAAACGGAGACCTGTTTGCGTCAAAAGCGAACCTTCAGCAATCAGTCGTGCAACGCTTTTCGGCTTGGCATGCAGCACGATAACCGCCCATGTCACACTTTTACTTATGATAGGACATGGTTTGCGTCACTTGAAGCATTTTCAGTTTGCTTTGCTTCACACTAGCGCGCATGCTCTAAGAGAGAGAATGACCAACTAGCTAGCAATCACAATAGCAGGCAAGTAATTCCGTTTTGGTCGCCGTGTAGCTCTCTCCTGTTTCAGCGCTGTGCTTTGTCTGCGACTGCTCAACTACTCAGGCTGCTTGTCTTGATCACACCTCCTCGCTCTTTGCTCCTTGCTCTTGCTTCTGTGCAGCCTTTTGATTTGTTGGTTTGATCCGACGTTGGTGTTCATTCTGTTCACTGTTCACATCTGGGTACCGGTGTACCGGTACCTGGTACAGGCAGGGGACCACTAATCCTTTCAAAACCAATGGTATTCAAAGTTTAAAAAGAATGGTACCGGTACCAAACCGCGGCTTACATTAAGTCAGCGGGAGCTGCGATACCTCGGCAGAAAGACAGATAGAAGAAGGACGACCACTCGTGGCTGATCTATAATTTATAGAGCAAACCCACGATTGGAACACAAAGAGGAGAATATCGAGGATTGTTAGCTAGACCGCTTGCTAATACATCCACAATAACACAATACCTTAAGCATTTCATTTAGCCATATTTCTCTAGAATCCCTGGCAATACATTTCTCCGCCACAGCAGAGTATGGCGGGCACAACGTGCTTTGTCGAGTGATTTTTTAACCCGCTCAATTTGTAGATTATGATTCGTTGCACTATCTCTCCTCTCTTGCGCAATCTTCTTTCTATCATGCGTATGTCGAAATATGCTGATCTCTACTTGGAAGAAACCCGGATCCTTGCCAAAGAGTTTCTGTACCCTTTCGTCCCAATCATGCTCTAAGATTGTGTGTTCTTTCTTTGCCTGTTCTGTGAGTTCTGCAAGCTGAGCTTTCAGCCATCCTCTATTTAAAGAGTTTTCTAGGTCTTCAACACTACGTAGCTTCTGCAGCTTCTGTCGCTCCATCTTCAGCTGAGCCTTAATCTTGTTTATTTCCAAAGCTTGATCAATCCAGAGCTGTTTTTCGTTGAAATTGTGTGCTTCAGCATCGAAGAATTCATTCTTTAAGCGGCGGATTCGTTTCCTATCTCGATCCTTTATTTTGGCAATCTCATATTCTTCTATAGATTGTTGTTCTCGATGCTTCTGCATGAATTCTCTTTTGACTTTCAACTCAGCCTGCCGTTCCTCGTCTGTTTGTTGTGCCTGCTTTTTCTGTTTGGACCGTCGATTGGCTTCAATTTTCCTGCGGTAAGCGGGTGTTCCATACTTGACAGGCATGGTTGCTTGGTCGCCCCAGTTATTGGTGTCGTGTGTCTATACAAGTAGCTGGCTGGTGCTTCTGGAAGGGATCTTACTATATGCGGTTGATGGCTGTCGTCAAGATCAATGGCTGTTGGGTGCATGGCTGTGGCAAACGGGTTGTCGCTGTTGGTTGGATGCAATGGCTGCGGCAAAGGGCAAATGGCATCAACTTAACCCTATACCCTGGCTTCACCAAAACGGGGATCCCACAGACACAAAACCAGGGGATCCCACAGACGCAATATTTGCCAAAAAAGGAGTAGAGGACTCGACTCAGGCAGTTAACCTGCCAAGGTAAAGTGTCTTTACTTGCAATGGTAAGTGCACAAGTGCACCCAAACCTACCGGTATGGTACCACCTGGTACCTGTACTAGTACAGTACATGCACCTCCCGCTGAAAACACTTCGCAAGGAAACTGGATGGCTCAGAAGATGAGGTGCTTGCAAGGTAGACCACATCACCACTGCGTAGATCCCTCGTCAGTTTACCAATCTAGCTACGCAGGTCAGTGTCTACTCCTGTGCTGGTCCACAGCACTGAATGATTGAATCATTCAATGCAATTCCTCTACCGGTAATAGTTTTGCTTGGCTTTGGCATACTAGTACTCAAAACTAACTTTCTCGACTTGTTTCCATGGTCCGTCACTCTGCGCCTGTGATATCAAGCTAACTTGACAGATCCAAAATAAATGTGAACATCCCGGGGGAATGGATTGTTCATTGGAACTGGTTGGGTTGTAACAAACAGTGATTGGCATTCTCTTGCACTTGAAGTGCGTTCCGGATCAACACCTTCAAGTATGCGTGTTGGTCATCTTGTGCATACCTACCTTGTCACAGTCAGGCCGCACACAAAATGATGGACACGATGTCGCCAGCAAAGCCAACCAGAAGGATATCATCCTATATACTCACGACGAGACCAAAACCAAAACCAAAACCAAAACCATACAGAGTGAGCCCCTTCGAACAAGTTCCAAAACCAAATACCAGACACATCATCTGTAAAATCCTACCAGCGCTTTGAAGAGAGATGATGGGATGCTCGGTAGTTTACAATCGCAGAATTGTGGTCAAGCAAACGTTGCCCCTCTACACCCTGGAAGCAAGGAGCTAAGCTTTCCAAAGCTGCCTGCATTACAAGTTCCAAGATAAAGCCTATACGTTCCAACTTCTCCCTTCTCAGGTTGCGATCCTGCACAACAGCATTCCTCTTCTCTCCAGTATCTTCCACAAATCTTGGATCTCCCCCATCACCTTCGAGTGCTCGGTGGCCAGCGTGACTGGCATGGCTAGTACTGTAGCTGTTCGAGCCTCAAGCTTTGGTGGTGAGGCGACCTTGGAGATCGCGGAGCCCGAATGCGCCCTTTCGCAAATTCGTACTACCCGATGTTGATGAACCGAATTCATGCCGGGACACAGAGCACAGATCACTCATGAAAAGAGGCGTCATAAGCGTCGGCGAGTGGTTGGTTACCTGGTTGTTCTTCATTGATTACTATGTTTAGGTAGTTTCTAGCGAGGATGCTATGTGTGACACTAATTAATTGTTGTCTTACGAAGTAGTCAGGCGCGTTCACGAGTCTGGGATACCAATGCATTTCATTGAATCACATGCTTACTCTTCTTTTGTACCGGTAGCAGAGTTGTCCCATCGTTCTGGCATTGATGGTAATCATCAATCTCATCGTCTGTTGGGATAGCCAAGGATCTGAAAACTTTCAGATCTTGATAGAGTTCAACTTGCCTCTCTTGCTTCCCTTTGATGCTCCCATCGCTGTCGCTGTCACCGTCGTCGTCACTACTGGAGGCGCTGATCGCAAGAGCACGCTTCGACGATGGCTGGAATTTTGGTGAAGGCAGATTGGACTGTACGGACAGGGTGTCGTCCGAGAAGGAAACGCAGTTCGGGATATGGCCCTTGTTCAGGTGAGTTGTCTGCTGCTGCAGATGTTTATTGTCGGATGCATTTTGTCGGTCTCCAGACATGGACCGGGCTCGGCTGCCAGCATAAGTGGATCCCGGGGTTGTAGCGGTGATTGTTGGAGCAGTGTCATCCACAGAGGCTGCGTCCTTGTCGTCTGACGATGGCTCGTTCAGCTCCAGAAGCGGCTTTTGCTTTGAGCCTCTGACCGGCGTGGGCACCGCCTGACTCTTTGGCTGTGCAGCTTGCGAAGATTGCTTTGGCTGTTCCTTCTTGTGCTGCTGTGGCTGCTGCGCTTGGTTCTCTTGCTGTAGTTTCCTTAGCTGTTGCTGGCGTAGCTGCTCTTGCTGCCTTTGCACTGACATCTTTTCTGGGTAAAAGAGGAAATTGAAGACTTTAGATCCGACATTTTCACGTGGCTCCACTGGACCATCAAACCATGAGTCATGGGTCTCCACTGAACGACTGGAATCGGGCTTATCCGGTTCTTTATGATGTTGCAATGATGGTGGTGGAGAGACACGACCGACGCTTGGAAGGAGCTTGACTGGGGAATAGGAGGACGAAACAGCTTGTGTTGGCGCAGGAGGTTTCGTTGGACCTTGCTTAGTCGAATCTGAGATGTCATCGTTGTCATCCTTGCACTGCTGGTCTGTTTTGGGAGCCGACGACGGGCCTTCATCGGCCTTCTCTGGCTCCGACGAATCATTTTCCTTGTTGGAACATTCAGTAGCACCAGCACATGATTCTTCGTCTTTCGCGGGGTCGCTGGGAGCACCCTTGTCCTTGGTATCTTCCTCCTTGGTCGCCGTCTCAGTTTCCAGTGACGGTAGTTGCACTGCCTCCACTTCTTCAGGCTTGACTGCTGCGGGCACAGCATCAACCGGTGTGCTTTCCCTGCGCTGTGGGCTTCTTGGTGGCGTGCGACGGGGGCTGCCAGTGCCCATAGCTCGTTTGAAGATGCGAAAAGCACCGCCTTCTTGCTGCTCTTTATTGGCATCCACCCTGGCTTTGGCGATGGCAATGAGTTCAGCTTGCGAAGTCGGCGGCGGCGAAGCCTCGACCATGACATTTGAGGAAGCACTAGCTTCCTCCACAGTGTCCTCTTCAACGGCAGACTTTTGGCTGTCTGCCGTACAATCAAGTTTCCCGTCTTGGGTTGTCTCCTCCAAAGGCTCTGGCTTGGATGCAGAGGCCGCGTCGTCGTTTACTGTCTCCTTTTCTTCCATTCCTTCACATTCCTCCAATCCAACCACTTCCACAGAGTCCTCGTCATCAGGATCCTCCTTCTTTTCCTCTTCCTCGGCATGTTTTCGTCGGCGCTCCTGCTTCTTCAACTGTTGCTGCTGCTTTTGCTGTGCCATGATGGTGGCCTTGAGGTGCTCCTCATGCACGAGCAATGCGCCTGCTACATGCTGGTGTAGGAGCCGTTGCATGTCTAGCTTGCGAGCCGTGGCAGCTTGTTGCCGAAGGCTCTTGACTTCTTGGACCAGCAACCTTCGTTCGCCGGAGAGTTTTAGGACTTGTCGCTTCAATTCTCGGTTGCGTGTGTGCAAATTGTGGGCCACCGATTCGGCCCGTTTTGCTCGACGCAGTGCGTTCCGTGCTACGGCTTGGGCCTGCAAAATGTCATTGGCCGAGATGGAGGATTCTTCCGACACGAGACGGGCAAAATCTCGCATGTGTTGAGCCGCATCCCACAGGCGCAGCAAGTCCGTTCCAAAGACGGTCCCTTGCAGACACGTGCTGGACACCATGGATTCAATCTCCAGCAGTGGAACGTTGCTTGCTGGATTGTCTCCTTGCGTGGCAGCATCTGTTTCTTCTTTTGCTTCTTCCGTGTCGCTCTGGGACGGTACGGATTGCATGTGACGTGTTATCTTGCGGACACCATCGGCAAACTGTAGGAAGGCCAAGAGCGTCTCCTCTGCATTCTCCTTGTGCATATGTAGTTCTTTCTTGTGAATCTGCAGTTCTTCCTCCAGAGAAGCTACAAGCTTTGGAGGATTCATCGGCACTTCTGTGGGAGCGATGGGGTCGCTGTCCACTACTTCGGGTTTTTGTTGTACTTCCGCAGAGTCCATCATCCTTTTGGCTGCGGCGCTGCTCTAGCTAGAACTAAGAATGGGAAGCAAGGAAGAGGATGATAGAGGAGCGGCCCGCCAGGAGGGTTTGCACGGATGTTTGCAGGACCTTGTCAATGAGCTAAACTGGTAAGGGAGTGGCAAGGTGAATGAAATGAAGAATTCTGCGGCAAGGCGTTGTGGCTTTGGGATGGAATGGAGCCGTCGATGATCGCAACAGTAGCAGCTTATTTGCAAACAACAGCGATTAGGTCTTCATGTGCAACTCTATAGCGACCATGGAGCACCTCGGCTTGGATATCGTTCGTGTAGATGTTGCCTTCCTTTCACACAATCTTGATGCAGTCTATCATCAGTCTTGGCGAATGAAAGACCTAAATGTTTACCGCGAAAAATACGTTTTCTTACGACTGAGGAGTTGGGCGTTGGGGGAAACAAATATGTGATGTCTTCATACGTTACCCCAACACCTACTTGTCGATTCCAATTTCTAAAAGGGAACCAGTGGTGGGGCTCGCGACCACACTTTTGCCTTGTGAATGCTCCAAAGATCCGTTCATCGGTCCTTGAAGGACAACAGACGTTCTGAAATTCTTGATTTCGCGCCATTCCTGGAAAGATTTCATGTGATGGTCGCCAAAGAAACCTAATGACCGTTGCTTTGGGTGGCTCTATGCATTGAGGATGTGGAAGCTGTTGGGATTTGAGGGTTTTGCACACCGTTATCCAGATGAGGAATGGGATTGCAAATTGCAAGCAGCCTGATGGGTTGGCTGTCGACAACCACAGCTGGTTACGGCAACTTGTTAGCCAGACCTACCGCACCTCAACCGCACCATGCTTCCACCCTTCTAATGATTTTAGTAGCACGCACCTTAGCTGTGCACCTCGTAGCGGTTGTACCAGTACTAGCACGCACCTCCACCGCATCCTTCAGCCCTTTCGAGACTATTATAGTACCGGTAGCACGCACCCTACTCTAGCTATGGTGTGTCACCTTCAGTCTGAAACTCTCAGCTCTTGTTACCGGTAGCTAACCTTCAAATCCAGCGTGGAGGTTCCAGCTAGTGCTAGCTAGCCACCACAGTAACCTTCATCTAACTCAGCGTGGACCAGTGCCCCAAGGTGTCAGCGTGGACCTTGTTCGAAGCTTGAGGAGGACGGTGACATCGTGGAAGCAGGGCGGAGCATCAGCTATGAACGGGGAGCGGCCCAACTACTAGCCACTAGGCAACGACAGTACACTGTACTGGTAGCTTCCAGCACAGAGGAACACTACCAGTGTACCAGTTGCTAGCTAGCGAGACAACACGATAGTCCGATAGTTTCCACGCTGAAGCTAGATCTTAGCAATCAAATCGAATCAGCCCTTTCCCAAAACCTACACAAAACGCAAATGAGAAAGGCACTGTCGTACATTTGTGAGCGATTCCAGACCGTAAAGGAGAATCAGTAGCCAGCCACCAACAACATGTCCGAGGTTCCATCAGACAAGCTTGAGCTTCCCCATTGCGAGGAGATCACTCGTGATGCTGGCATTGCCAGCTTTTTGACAGATGATGCACTTTGTGATCTTACTTTAATTGGCAATGATGGTGATACAGTCCATGCCAACCGATTTTTGCTGGCATCACGCAGCAAAGTCTTCCATAGCATGTTGCTTGGTAAATTTGCAGAAGCACAGAAAGATGAAATCCCTTTGGACTACAGGGGTTGTGTCCTCAAGTCACTTGTTGAGTACATTGTAACAGATTCCACTGGACTACTTGAAAACAGTGCAAAAGACACCCCAATTGATGAAGCTCAAGCTGAAGTGCTTGCTTCACAAATGGCGGCAGCCATGTTCTTTGAGCTGCCTGGTTTGTGTCAGAAAGTGTTTGCACTGGTCAACCAAACATTGTGCAAGCACCCAACATCAGCTTTTGCCATTTTGGAGGCTTGCCAGAAAGAAGGGCCAGCTATCCCAGCACAGCTGAAGGTCGTGGTTATATCTCGGCTTGTCGCAAATATCAATGTCTTGGACAATTCTGCAGTTTCAGTTTTGAGTGTTGAGTCACTGAAAGATATTCTCAAATGTGATACCACTGAAGTTGATGAATTCTGTCTCTTTGAGCTTTTGCAACTTTGGGTTGAAGGGAAGAAGAATGCCTCTGATGATTCTACCACCAGTGGCAGTGAGTCACCCAAGAACATTGCATCCCAGTTGGTAAAGAAGCACATCCGTATGGATTGGATTGACCCTGAGCTCTTATTCACCTCAGTCCAGTCATCTGGTTTTGTACCACAAGAACTCCTCTTGGCAGCCTTTCACAAACAAGCTGTACGCATAAAGAGACAGCACAATAATGTCGTCTTCAAGCAAGCCCGCAACCTTGTTGTCTGGAAAAACTCATTGACAAACGTTTCCAGCTCACCAGCCAATGCAACTGCATTTTGCAATGCATCTGATATGCTTCAGTACCCCCCAATCGTCTGTGGTAAACACGAATGGACTCTTGAGCTTGTTGAAGAAAGCAAAGGTGATTGGGTTGGAATTGCTTTTCAAAACATTGACCTGTCCAAATGGCTTGGAGAACAAAAGGGCGGATGGGGTTTGTGTCGTGATGGGAGGGCATGTCACAATGCAGCAAAACACTCCGAGGGCCACCCAAGGTACACGAAAGGCTCCAAAATCACCTTTACAATCAACTTGTCACCAAATGAGGAAAGTAATGGGACACTCCATGCACAGATTGATGATGATGAAAAGTTTCTTGTCTTTGAAAATCTCAGAGAAGAGTTGCAAGGTAGCAATGGTGGCTTTGTGCCAGCTGTATCAAACTATCCTCAAGGCAATTTTCGCCTTGTTCGAATTGAAAAATTGGGCTGAGTGATGTACTGTGGAGTGAGAAAGAAAGGTAATTACATTGGAAATTCCATGATGTTAGAAGGCAACTTTTGCCTTTGTTCACTTGAAAGATTGGAATGAGGGCTGTGCTGACCAGGATCAAATCATACGATTGTAAAATCGAATAATATAAATTCACGGAACTGTCCAGTAGTGTACCGGTAGCTTTGGAGGTCCAGGATAACCATATTATCTCCATTACCCACCCGCCTTCTTTTGAAGCTACTAGTACAGTGTACCTCTAGAGTCTAGAGTGCCCTTGGCCGTTTTGCACAGCCTTGCTGGCTAACGGTATGGTCTACCGGTACCAATCTACTACAGTACTAGCTAGCTAGCTAGTACATGTATTTTGAAGCATAACGATACCAGTACTAGTGTCTACCAGACCGGCTAAAATCGTTATTTAACATCAGGTTGGAGTTAATTCACACCATAACGCGAACCCATACCACCACCCGTAGAATTCGAATGAACAAAGAGGATCACAGGTTCAAATCATGTTGTTAATTAATGGCAACGGCTACTAAGCTACCACCAACACTGGATTCCTACGCACAATTCAAAACTTCAAACCGATGAGTTGACAACGGATACCTTATAATAGATGTTGACATCGGCGAGTACTTACCATAGAACAACCTAAACAAGAGGATGGCTTCCTCTATCCAACAGACACTTCAACGCCAATCGAAGGTTGGCTTGCACAACCTGGCGTTCTTATCAGGGTGGCACTGGAGAATGTGGCGACCCATGCAGACCTTTCCTGCCTTCGCGCAAATCCAGAACTGGTGCTTTCCAAGAGGATCAGTCTTCTCCTGGCAAGAGCGACAGACCTGAGTTGTCGACTTCTTGCATAACATGCAGCGCCCCTGTAAAGTGTCAGCGCCATTATCCTTCTTCCTCTTGCAAGGAGTGGGAGCAGTCAAGTGATAAGTGGACTTGAGGGTGTTCTTGCCAGTCACTCTTTCGTCATTGTCTTCCTCTCTTTCTTTGCGCTTGCGAAGGGACCTCTCTTCCCACTTGTTGTTGATCAGCTGTTCGGCAAGAACCTCAATGAAGTCTCGAGGTGTCTGCTTGTAGCTGTTGCCATGACAGCCCTTGGACAATTCGAAAGCATCAACGACGCACATGCTGAAGATGGAGAGATTGACACGGCGATCCCACTTCTTGGTCTGAACTTTCTTTTCAACTTGAAGAGCTTGCTGCCTGACTCTGTTGTGCTGGTCGATGGTTCCACAAGCAGAGTAGTAGGCGTGACAGGCCTCTGGTTGCTTCACCGTGATCTCAACTCGCTCAGCTGGTACGTTGATGTCTGGATCAACTTGTCGCCATCGCCAACGGACACAGTCAGGTCCTGGGGCAATACTCTTGGAAGAAGCAATGAAGTAGCGACGGTCTCGATCCACCCACACATAAGCCAGGAGTGAAGTGTCCGACTCTGCATGGCGAGAGGTAAGAGCATGAATATCGCCACGACCTCCAAGCAAGGGCTTTTGTGACAGATAAGCCATGGGAAATCCCTTAGTTGCCGTCTTGACCACTCCAATGAACCGGAGGCCAATAGACTTGAGTCGAACGGCGGTACCAACTGACGCGAAGTAGCTGTCGGCAACGACGATGGCGTTAGTGTTCGCCCAGGGCTTAACCAAATCGTAGAGGATGTTGCATCCATGGGTGAACCTGCGGGATTAATAGAAGGACGTGCAGTTAGATAGATAATAACAAAGTCATGAGTAAAGAAAGCATCGTGTACATACCCTTTTTCATCTTCTTTCGCCGCATCTTCCTCCCTTGTCTCTTGATCTGTGTCTGCTGCCTTGACTAACTTGAGTTGCATCATGATGCCGGTGACTCCATCTGCAGCATTCTGGATCTCGCATCCAAACTCTGGCTTCCTGTCAAGTGCAATGTAATGAGGCAAGCCGCAATTGATCCAGCTTCCACCAAGACCATACCACCTTGACATTGATTCGTCAACACAGACATAGCCAGATGGCTGCCAGTAGTTCCTGCGGTGTTCATTGAATCGATCAACGAAACCTTGCACTTTCATCCAACGGTACTTCTGAGAAGACATGCCATCTGGTTTCGCCGCCGGCTGATGACTCCAGACCATGAACCGGTTGAGATCTTCATAGCGGTTGCGACTCATGCCTGTCTTGCCAAAGTTGGGAGCAGGAATGTACTTGCGGAAAGAATCCTTTTCCCAAAGTGTCTTCCGGTCACCAAACTCGAAACGGGTGATCAACAATGTAACACCGAAGAACTTCAAAAGTTCTCCCATCGTTAACTCTTTCTTCTTCTCCGCCTTGAGAACCTTGTTCGTTTCTTTGATCATGAAGTCGATCTGTGTCTTGGGAAAGCAAGCTAAGAACAGGTTGACGGGTGGGATGAAATCATTCGTACGGTTGGCGTTTTCGTTGCAGTTAGGTGTGTACGTACTGTGATTGTATTGACAATACATCTGCCAGGAACGGAAGGGAGTCGGGCCATTAACTGGGACATCAGTAGGATCCTTGCCATCGTACCAATCATATCCATGGTTGCTTGACACTGGTTGCGGTCCTTCTGTGGAAGAAGGAGAGGGCTGTTGTTCCGGGTTTTCAGGGGAAGAATCTTGTTCCACGCTGGCAGATTCAGATTCTGGTTGGCTGTTGCCAGTAGCTGGAGGAGTGGTTGTTCCAGGAGGCGTCGTCACAGTAGGTGTCTGTGTTTGTTCCTCGTTGGTGTTGGTGTTGGTCAGCGGTGGTGGTGGAGGATTGGGTGGTTCGATGGTGCCCATTTCTTCCACGTTGATGCTTGGATTTGGGTTGGATGCTTTCAAGTTTTGCAAGCAAATCCACTGCTCCTTGGCATAGTTGTCTCCAATCTTGTACAATGCCTTGATGTAGTTGGTGCCTCTCTTGGCATCAGGTGTCTTCTTGCGCATCTCCACCTCCTGAACCAATCCCTTGAGCCATGTATCTTTGGTCGCCGCACCAAAGAATCTCTTTGCATCATGAGTAACTTGCGGTGCCTTGGCCCAGCAAAAGCCACCCACCACCTTCCTGGTGTCCTGTTCGTTCGCAGACATCTTCTCGTCCTTGTTTGTAGTGGGTAGTAGGGAGGAAAGAGCGGGCGATTGGCCATGGTATTATCTTTCTTTTCGGTGGAAAAGAAAAGTGGATCGATCGAAAATGGCATCGAAATCGGAACATACTGCGAGTTTGCCTGCTTTCTTTCGCATGTGTAAAGCCAATCCCAGGCGTCCTGCGTACGACCAACATAAACTCTAATAGAGTTGAATAACGCAGGCACATTAACTAGCTATTACTTCCTGTATAGCTAGATACAACGCGGTGACAAAGTTTGGCGTTAATTAACCACAATAGCATGGATTAACGACCGTTGGTCTGGTAGACACTAGCTAGCTAGCTAGCTAGTACCTGGTAGCGGTGGCCGCGTGGTGCGTGTGGTCCAAAAACGGGTCCCTTTCAGAGAGGTGGCGTTCACGGATAACTAGTGACTAACTTACCACATACCGTTTTACTAACAACATCACCCACCCAACACCTCGCCCCGCCTTGACAGCAAACACAATCAACTCCCTCTCTCTGTTGCTAAAACAATAAGTCCACCATGGTAAGTGATCCTTTGCGATCCGCCTACCCCGGCATCATCTGATGTGCGGGGGGCCAGGATATGTGAGCAACAGCAAATGATGTCTAACACTGATGATTCCTTTTTTCTCTGCTGGATTAGGTGAAAGCAAAGAAGCAAACCAAGTTCGTGATCGACTGCACACAACCCGTGGACGATAAGGTCCTCGATATGGGTCAGTTCGAAAAGTACTTGAACGACCGCATCAAGATCAAGGGACAAACTGGTGTTTTGGCGCAGAACGGGGTGACTATTGTCAAGGATCGTTCCAAGTTGACTGTGGCCAGTCCACCCGAGCTCAACTTTTCCAAGCGTCAACTCAAGTACCTTTCCAAGAGATACTTGAAGAAGCAACAGTTGAGAGATTTCTTGCGCGTCGTGGCCGCCAGCAAGAACTCCTACGAAATGAGATACTTCCGCATTTCTGATGTCGATGAAGGCGATGATGAAGAGTAAACTAGTAACTCGGTTTCTGGAATCGTGCTAATTGTACAATCAACACTCTAGCGAAAAGATTCGTTTCAGATATGTTATACTTTGCAACAACCGCATTTTCATGCAATGCAAGCTTTGTGAAGCCTGGGACAACAGGATAATCAACACACGAAGTGGGCCGAGGGATATCCATAGTCGACGTACCGGTTGCTACAATCAGTTTTCTGTGTCTTGAACAGAGTAGCTGTTGGTTGTGGCGGGTTTACTCCAGTGCAAGATACTTTAACAAATAGCTAGCTAGCGATGGAGGCAGTTGAGGTTGTCTCTGCGTTACGGATTAGCTGCGTTTGGCTACTGGCTACAAAGGAGCACAAGACTGTGTAGCCCACAAGAGGCTGCAAAATGGTTCCAGAGTTATTTTGTGGGTGCTTCCTGTGTCCCTCAAACTTCGAACTTGTTTCCATGAACCACGACAACATGTTCAGGCAAAGGAACAAGAGGGTTTGGAGTGGAGTGATCGGCAAACCAGTGTGTAATGTTGGATGTGACAACGCGGAAAAATTGCCTGTAACCCGACTCGGTCTGTGGCAATGCCTCATGCGGCGTGCAATCCGTCATCCAAATCAACTCGTTGGCTTCAAGCTTTTTGCCGGGGCCCAGAAGAGGGCGGAGATGCTCGCATCCGCCATGGCGGTCCACGATGCCCTTGACGTTCTTGTCCACAAGGGCGTCCCATACCTCACTGGTGCCTGCGACCGAGGAAGCCATGAAGATGCCTCCTTCCAGCTTGTCAGCCGCGTAAAACATCCCGATGCCCCAGGCGTGCTCTACGCCTGGGGTGAACGTAGACGATTCTTCGTCCGTAAAATCACCGGGAGTTTCGATATGCAGGCCTTCCCGCCTTTGAGCCGTGGACGCATCCACCCACCTCTCGTGAACAGTGAGGTACCCGACCTTACCAATCTCTTCATCCGCATACGGACATTGCTGAATCAAGTGGTGATAGCATTGAAGGTCGTCTGGCAATGAAGATTTGTCATTGAAAATAAACGGCATCATGTTCACGCCGCGATCTTCGGGTTCGGGAAAGCTCTTGAGGGTGGTTATTGGCACATAGGCAACAATCCCCCGCAGGGGCTTGCCGCTCTTTTCGTCTGTTTTTAACGTTTCGAGCTCAACAGCACGCGCATAAGGTCGGTTCGTGAATTTGCAATACTCGCCAGTATCAAATTTTAAGTAGCGGATTCCTTGGTCTCCAAACTGGATGCTCGGGTTTCCGATTGAGTGGGCCGGTAATGTAAGGGTAACACCATTGCCCCACCTCGAAGCAGCACAGGAAAAAATGGATTCGACAAGTGTATCCTCTTTTCCCCGCAGCGCACTCAAAGAGCTTCCTTCGTCAAGCACTCCTTCGAAAATGGTCCGAAGCGTGGGACTCCACTCGTAACTTTCGTAACCATGATAAGACGTCGCCAGCGCTGGTAAGCTCTGCAACGTTGTTGTCTCTTCCGCTCCCGCCGCTCCCCTCTTGGAGCGACGCAATGCCCTGCTTCTTGTTGCAGTGTGCTGCACTCTCTGGCGCGGTGATTGATTGCGGTTCCTCCACATCATTGATTGTTTCTATAAATACTTTCTTTTCCTGTTTGTGGTACCGGTACATGTAGAGCGTCGATGTGTCGAATACGTTCAGTCGTGCGTCAAACGTGGATTCATCCTTAAAAAGCCAGCACAGCAGGAAAGAAAAAACCGGCTTGGCGGTTTGGTGCGAAGAGGTCGCAGGATACATACAGCACCCTGAAGACCCGTCGGTAACGTTGGTTGACCTCGTGCGGCTCCGATTTGCGCCATCAGTGGTTGTGCCTTTCAATAAAGCCAGGATCCAAGCCATAACGTCAACTTTGCTCTCCTTGGTCAGAGCCTAGGCTACCGTTGTCGCCTTTTTGAAGGGAGGGTGTTTTTCCACGCTCTCCTGTACTAGTATCTCAAGAAACGGAGAACCAGCAAAACTGAGCACATAGCTACTCGGCAATCTCGGAAGCATCTTCTTTTTCTTGTTGGTTGTCGTCACATGGATTGTGCATCCATGTCTCTAATAATTCCTCGAGATGATCCGGCGAGGAAACGACGACATCCGGGCTCTTCAAAAAGAAGTTGCGAATCCAAAGCGATGCCTTTTGTGCCATGGGAAAGAGTTCCTGTTGCAAGGGTAGATACTGGGGATCGCAGATACTCTGTATTTTGTGTCGTTTGGATTCTTCATCCAGTGTCAATTCCAATTGTTTGAAAGGTCGAGCGCGAAAGACTGGAGTTAGTTCGTGGCGCAAACCCAAAAACTTTTCCAAGTCGCGACGAAAGATTTTGGAACGGGTGCGGTTGGAATCGGATAATTGTCGAAGGTCTAGAAAGAAGACTTTGTTTTTCATTTTTGGGATTGAAGTCGCGGTAGAAACCTTTTGATGGATATGATCCCAGATATCTTGGTCCCTGCTGCCGTCATCACCAGGAGGAGCCAAATAGGGTTGGATCAAGTCCAGCTCTTCTTTGGATGACATGTCTGTCTTGCCCAAGCGAAAGAGTTTGACATGAAAGGCGCCCATGTGGGTGCAGAGAATCTGGTTGTTGCCTCTGCCACAATGTCCAATCAGTGCAGTGGGGTCGGTCCCCACCTGTTTCAAATGCCCAATGGTCAAGCGAAAGTTGTAGAAACTGCGAAACCATTTGAGTGGATTGCGCACGGAAATGATCAATTTGGTTTCGGGCCAATACGTGTCGACATGTCGGAGCGCCATTGGGACCTGTAGTATTTCTGGATTTTTGAATCCCTGTAGAAATGGCTTGGAAGCAGTGCTTGTAGTATTGAAGGGATTGTCGAGTAGGTTCAGATACAGTCGTTCTACGAGTCTTCCAGGATTGTCATTGACAATTTCATGAATCTCTCGTTTAAAGGTCCGTACATTGTTGTCTCTTCTGATCCATTTCAGCAGTGTAGTCGTGCCGCATTTGGAAAATCCGACAATGGCATAGTCCAAGAGAAACTGCACATCTCCAATCACTTTCAATGACACTTTGGATTTGTCTTCTCCTTCTTGCTGCTGTCGATGTGTAGCCACAACCAGAGAGGATAAGGGAGGATAGTTGCCTGGTAATCGCTTGGTTTGTTCGATTTCGGCACTTCTGGCATCAATCAGACTCTTCAGTTCTTCACCGGCAGTGACTTTTTCAGCTGGTGGCGGGGCTGAAATTTGGAGGATACTGTTCGTCTCGACAACTCCATTATTGGATGGTACAACAAGGTCTTCGTCAAGTGGAAACAGTATTGGCAGAGTCCAGAAAGAGACCAGCAACAGTATCAGTAGCAAACAAGCCAAGGGGAGACAACGGGAGCAGCACCGTCTCTTGGGCTTTTTAGCCGACACAATCATGGCCTTTACAGGAAAGCTTCCATAGTACTGGATCTATACGGTATGGCTTTCTTGCCCAACCCAACATGAAAGGAGCTGTGGTCGGTCGTTTGGCCGTTGCTTTTGCTGAGCGTTGGTGGTAGGATCAAATGTGCGATCCACAATCAGTCGTGAGACCATTCCGCATTTCGACCTCTTCTTTCGTGCCTCTTGCTGGCCCAAGCAAAACCCATCCGGAAGCCGAGAGTAACAGGCAAGAGCTTTCCGGTAATAGATGGTGCTGGTACCGGTACTGGGCCGCAAGAGCTCGTCCGAGTCATCAGTTTGTGGTGTCTGTTTGAGTTGGATCTGCAGTTGCTTGAGTGGCGAAAGGAGAAGAAATCACAGCCAAAAGATCCACGAACGACGAGGGTTTTTGGAAGAGCACAAAACGATATCCACTTTTCCATCTGCTTTTGAGATCCTACAACAAATAAATCAGTTCACTATCGACCGTACAAAGAAATATTCCCAAAAACAAAACAAAACAATGACCATGATGGACGAGCCCAACCCTCCTGTTTGGCCGGATTCGGTAATCATCGTCCATGACACGGAGGATGCCGATACCATGAAACAGAAATTGGAACCCACTCAAGATTCCTGGAATGCGGAACACAACACATTTACTTGTGATTATCACTTTTCCGATCGACGATATGCCGTCTTGTTTACTCCTGGTATTTACCGCAATGTCGACTTGGAAGTGGGATACTACGTCCAAGTGGCGGGCTTGGGTGTGACACCCAATCATGTTCAATTCAAAGGCGATGGCAAGGGACCGCATGTCCCTTCTTTGAATCGACACATTCACAAGAATAGTGGAACCTGCCTCGATACCTTTTGGAGAAGTGGAGAAAACTTTTCGTGCGCCAATGACATGGTCTGGGCCGTCAGTCAGGCATCTCCATTACGTCGGGTCCATTGCCAAAAGGATTTGTACCTCCATGACAAGGACGCCTACGCCAGTGGAGGCCACATTGCCAATGCCGTGGTCGATGGACACACACACTTTGGTGGCCAGCAACAATACTTGAGTCGCAATGTCCACTTTGGAAAGGGGGCTTCGGGAGGTGCCTGGAGTATGGTCTATGTGGGCTGTGGCGACAATGCCCCTCCCAATTCGGCAACCAACACGACTATAACGAAAACTCGTGTTCGAGTGGAAAAGCCCTACATTGCCGTGTACGATGACGACAAGACCAAGTTTCAGCTTCGAATCCCACTCGTCAACGATGGTACCACCGACAATCTACCCCAAGTGACTGGCGACAACGAAGAGAGCCGCGATTTCCGTCACGTCAAGGTGGCCACGGCGTCGGAATCCACCAGGGCCATTCAAAAGGCACTCGACGAGGGCAAGGACGTGGTCCTGACTCCAGGTATTTACTATCTGGATCAAAGCCTTGATGTCCACAAGGACAACCAGGTAGTGTTGGGACTGGGTTTGGCAACTCTGGTGTCTCCTGTTGGATCTCCCTGTATCCGAGTCGCCCCCGGCACTGCAGGAGTTCGAATTGCTGGTGTCATGTTGGAAGCCCCTGCCGTGGATCCAGCCAAGAGGAAGAGCACCGAGTCGCATTGGTCCCTCTTGGAGTATGGTTGCGAGGGCCAAACCCAAGCAGACGACCCAAAGAACCCCGGGGCCCTCTTTGACATCTTTTGTCGAGTGGGTGGTGGTGGCGATGCGGACAAGCGTCATTGGATCAACATTGACAGCATGGTGCGAATTCACTCCAGCCATGTGATTGGAGATAACCTGTGGCTTTGGAGAGCCGATCACGCCGAGCTGAATCCTGGCGAGAGTCCCAATTGCCCGAACGTATCGCCGGTGTTCTATCAGACGGAGAAGGACGAGTACAACGTTGACACGGGCATTGTGGTGACTGGCGACAATGTGACAATCTATGGCTTGGCAGTGGAGCATACAAGCAAACACCAAACCATTTGGAAGGGCGAAAATGGCGCCGTGTACTTTTATCAGTGCGAGTTCCCCTATGATGTTGACACTGACTTTGGGAAGGCTGGATACAGAGGATATTTCATTGGGAATTCGGTCAAGGCACACTCCCTCAACTCTCCCGGGATTTACTCCAACTTTCGAAATGCAACGGTCCAGGTTGAGACAGCTATCCAGCATCCAGACAGCCCCGAAATAGAGGTTGTCAATCCGTTCACAGTGCATTTAGACAACAATGGAATCATTGCATCGGTGATCAATGGACGAGGCCCTGCCGCTCAGAAACAGGGAGTTCCAAGCCGAGTGTAGGCCTTTTCGGGTGCAGCTTCACTGAAAGATATCCTCGAAGTTATGCCGCCAAAGCTGCCAAGAGCAAGTTAGAATAGATGATAAAGGAGGAAGAACATTTTAAATAGAACCAACTTCATAGAACCCATCTCTCGACCTAGCCACGCACAGCACATCGTACTGTTATTTCGATAGGCATCTTTGCATCTCTGTGGCTGCAGGCCACAAGTTCGATTTCATTTTCTCATCTTCATCATTTCGATACATCCTGGCTGGGGCATCGTTCTCGAGGTACGGTACTACCTGGTACCAGTAGCTAGCCAGCAGCCAACTGTGTACTTTCAATTACTAATTTCATTTCTTGGCCTCTTCTTCTGGGCCTTTATTCCAAAGATCTTCTTTTCAAAAATACATCGAGATGGAGATCCCGCAGCAGCCGAACATGTACAGGAGTAACTTGCGCCCACCCGAACACCGCACATCGCACACCCATAATGACTTACATGTACTTGCTCGCATCAACGGCCTGTCCTCATCCTGAACTCGCCGCACGGAAAACATGGCTTGCCGCGTGTTCCATACGCCCATGAGTTGAAGGGGACCCATGTCATGCGATTTTAGCTAATTCTATTGGAAGATTGCTGAGGAACCGGTTATGGCTTTCCCTGAAATCGTCATCTTGTTCCCAGACACTCTGCCAGACTTACAGCAAATGATAAAAAGCTCGTGCTATGCACGCTGCGCATGAGCACAACATGACGAGGGAGGTGGCAAAGACATGCAGGACGGCTACGCGGCCACATGTACCGTGTGACTGTACGACTGTACATCGTAACATGCAAGGTTGAAGGTTGAAGGACACAAAGAACTGTCCAATAGCATTCTTGCATTCTTGGTGCTTGCGTAAAAAGAAAAATCGGCCCCAACGCATACGTCAGCGTTGAACCACGGCCGCCTGCTCACCACGCGGCACTCACCTCGGAAACATTTCTTTGTGTCTTTCTCGTCTCTCTTTCGTCATTGTATCATTGACCAAACCTTCTCTTACCACAACACCAATAGTCGGCAATGTCCCTTCCACAGTACGGCAGCACCCACGATGATCCCTATGACGATGAGGAGCTTGCAAGAAAGGGCAAAGATCAAGGGACCACAGCAACGGAAACATCTGACAGTGACTCTGATACTCCTCCCTCCAACGAGTATGTTTTGAATGTGGCGTTTGCTTCCTTTGTAGGCTTCACATGTGTTCAAGCCGCATTTGCCCTGATTGCTAACAGCCAATCCATGTTGACAGATAGTGCGGCCATGGGCGTGGATGCCCTGACCTATCTGTTCAGCATGTGGGCGGAGCGCATCAAGAATCGATCTCCCACAGCCGAAGAGCTGCAGTTGCCACTAGCTGTACGAGAACATCGCATTGAAATGAAGCGACTATACCTCGAGTTGATCCCTCCTCTGATCAGTGTCAGTACAATGAGTCTGGTGACTGTATTGGCTGTGATAATGGCCTGGGAAACCCTCCAAGCTGACGCACAGCCTATTGTCAACGCTGGCCTTATGCTCTGCTTCTCGGTGATGAACTTGCTGTTGGATTTGGTCAATGTCATCTGCTTCGCAAGACACTGTCCTTATGACGCCCACGAACAATCATCACATCCCAATCATTGCCCCGAGCAATATCCGTGTCCTGACGAACAACAAGAGCTATTGAATCAACAAGAACAATCCACCTTCAACAAGAACTCAACGATTTCCTCGGTTCACTGCTCGCCTGCGCAGCATATTTGCATTGACACACTGCGAAGCATAGCTGTCTTGGTTGCTGCAGCCATTGCATATTCAGTTGATACCGTCTCACCTGCCGTAGCAGATTCCTGTGCTGCTATTGTTGTTTCCATTACTACCATGATTTCCTTGATTCCTCTCATCCGAGGGCTCTTTGAGACGGCACAGCAGATTGTCATTGAGGCAAAGAACAAACCAGCCTTCATCTTGGAGACACAGGGTGGTACCCAATACCATCTGTAAGCACAAGCTCGGGGATGCAGACTTACTTGCTTCCGTTGTGCAGGCGAGCTGGCGCTGGTACCGATGACTATCCCAGCACAAGCTTCACCCATCCACCATCATCATAGAGCACTATGTGTCCAGCTTCAATCGGCCAACACTTGGTTGACATCAGCAAGGATGACAAAGACTTTGAGATGGAACCCGTCCGGGCTCTGGTTTTGTGTAATGTGGGTTCGATCCTACTTTCTGCCAAGGAGCAGGCTGAACCAGCTGCTTTTTTGAATAGGAGAGGCGGCGCTCAAACGGGCAGCCTACAAGCCAGCCAGAAGACAGATGACTGTGCACTGACTTTCACTGGACTCATCACATTATCTACAAAGAATGGTGGAAACTCTGGGACACCAAGTCACTACACTACAGCCCTGGAAACAGGTAGTGACGGTGGGATATTTGACTCCCTTCCATACCTCATATCATCCTTTCCCTTCCCTCCTACCCTCTCGAGCCTCCATTACAACTCCCACTCTCTTCAGGATGAGCAAATGACCTGTGGCACGGCAACAACACCTGAGACCTCAGTGTACAAACCATTAGATAGCTAAAGGTGTCACACCCTCTTAGGAGGGCCGGTGAGCAGACTTGAATGTGAGAAACACCTGGGCCTTGGCTCATGGGTCGTCCTCAATCACTTCTTGTCTGAATCCGTTATTAAATTTTTTTTTTTTAAAGCGCACTGGTTTCCGCTTTGGAAGGGCTTTTACAAGTTTATCCAAGTTGGCTACGAGCCAGCGAGCGAATTGAAAGGATTCAGTGATTCGATGTGCTCTCCCCAAGATCGGATCTATGAGGTACGGTACTATCACCGGTAAGGCAATAACTTCTCCCTTCGCTGCATTCTGTCCCAACCATAAGGGTGATGATGCGCCATGCCACACCTCCCTGGGCCTCGGCGTACAAGTATATGAACTCTATTGAATGATTGATAGATTACATTTATTATTGGTTCCTAGCGTTTCACCGAAGCGAGGATGTGCAACAACGGCTTTGATAGTCCCGTTGAATAGCTCCACTTTTCACCATCACCTCAGCCCACATGCATGTACAATTCATTTTCTTGCTTTTGTTGTTCTGAATGGATGAGCATTTCCACCCAAACAGAATTCACATCCAATTGAGATGCGTCGGATTGGACCATCATCGGCACTGGTTGGCCGGTTGAGGTGCGTAGCTTTTGCCTGGCAGCATTAGGAACAATGGTCAACGAATCTTGCATTGTTCGTTTGGGATGAAGTAGAACAGTCTTTCTCATTTTCTTGTTGGTTTCTGGCACTGCACTTCTGTACGCAACTACCTGTTGACTTTGTGGAGAAGGAAACTCCCTCACTGATTCATACTCGCTCCAGTATTTGGTGGCTTCAAGGACTCTAGAGTCGCTTTCGGCTGTGTATAAGTTGCTGCCAGATGAGTGAGTAACAGGAGCATTCTTGCCCAACCCAAGGTCATAAGTGGCTCTGCAGGGTTGTTGAGTGGATGTCACGCCACACGGTCTGCTTGGTTTTATTAATGACATGTTGCTGGGGAGCTCATCAAAGGGATCCAATACATCATCTTTGGGGGGCGAGATTTTTACACCCGTATCAGATACACTGAGTACAGAGAAACCTGTAGATAATGGCTTGGATAATGGCACAGCAATAGTGTATCCTTCGACAGTCGCAAGCGATACTGCAACTGCGACGACCAAAGGCCATCTACTAGCGCTGTTCTCAATGGATGATGAGGCGACCATCTTGATCGTCAAGTTTTAAAATAGGTTTGGGGTTGGTGGTGAAATTGGTTTGTTCTTGCGTTCTGCTTGTTTTGTGTGCCGATCGAGTCAATTCTTGGCTAACCACGCATCATTGCTCTTGGCCCATCAACAAGGAACAAGTCACGGTGTTCCATTCAAGCAAAATGCGTGGTGGCGGCGAAACTTGCATCCGTGGTCGATGGACTTCTTTCGAATTCTCATGGAATCTTCACGCATTTGGATCCAACGGGAACGACAATCGTTCAACCAAACTCCAAAAAGGCTGAGGTGGATTTTCACGCCGAGACGGAAACGAGGTCGGAAGCAGGCAACCAAGTGACGAGTCGAGTCGAGTCGGCACTCATCTCGCAGGTCGCTCCCAACTCCCAACATGCACGAGGCACTCAGCACGGAGTTGCGGGGAATGGGCTTTTAGAGCATCTCCTTTTGAGAGCAAACTGCTGCAGTGAGTTATCTTCCACTTTGAGTCATGCTTCCAGATTGTGTCATTCTTCCACATTGTGTCATTCTTCCAGATTATGTAACCTGGTACTTTTTTCTACGTGATTTTACGTATAACCTTCCAGATTGCGTCATTCTTCCACATTGAGTCATTCTTCCACATTGAGTCATTCTTCCAGATTGTGTCATTCTTCACATCGGTTCAAGAGTGAGGAACTGGCCGATAAGAGCCGGGCAAGCTTCAAAAAAGACTTAACGAAAATTCTGGAAAGGATGGATCCCTTCTTTGGAACGGAGATCCGAGATTCGGAGAGCCCTTTGGAGTTTTCATGAAACGTTCGGAGGCCAACAAGCAATTAGGAATTGTTTAGCATTGTAAATGCCACTAAATGAAGCAAAGGTGTTAAGGTTGGACTCTTTGATAACATGGTTTATTGCTTTAGTGGTTGGCTTTGGAAGGGGAGCACGAAACGTTTTGGTTTTCGCGGTTGGCTTCGGAAGGCAACGTTTTCGGAAATGCGCGTCGGGCAGCTATTAGGGGTCTTCAATGTTGCTCTTTCAGATCACTTTTTTGCCCTCTTTTCTGGCCCTTGTGGGGGAGCGTGGAAGGTTCTGAAAAGAAGGGGCCGAGAAGTCAAAAAGAAAGAAAAAAACTTCTTTGAAAGAGCACCTTTTTAGGTGTTATTTCGCTCATAATTTTTCTTTTCTTCACTCTTTGGGTCATCTTTGGGGTTTCCAAAGAAATCCGAAGCCTGCAAGAAGCGGCAATTATTTAAAGGCTTGAGCCACGACTAGTCACGAAGAACATGCAAAGAGGCAAAGCATTAACAGAAACACATGAAAAAAGTCATTCGATACCTTGTGACGATTCCAACGGAAGCACGTCCTAACATGTTTACTACGAGGGTCATGTTTCGCATTTTCGCACTTCGCACCCTCTCCGCACCTCTCCGGTTTCTCCCCAGATCCACACCTCTACCCCCTCTTCCTGCTCCCCCACAAGGGCCAGAAAAGATGGCAAAAAAGTGATCTGAAAGAGCAACATTGAAGACCCCTACCGGTATTGTCCTCTCTGAACCGATGTGTCTTCCCTCCAAAAAGCACTGGTAATTGAAACATGACAAAAACACTAAAACAGGTATTCCCGCAACTCCAACAGGGCGGCAAGCTACAGTACGAGCTTCAAGCCTTCAAGTGCCTGGCCATGATGTAGCAGTACATGTAAAGTCTACAGGACAGGGCAAGTGGATGTGCAAGCATCTAGCTTATGCCGCATACATCGAAGTTCAGGCGAAGTTCAGGTGCCCAAAGGAATGGCAAGTCATTGTGGAGTTTCGCCTTGAACAGAAACTTCATCTTTGGGAGCCTCAGGTACAGGCGGATCAGCTTCCTGTCCATCGTTGGCTCCCATCATTGGCTTCTCTGGGGCTTCTTTAGCGCCCGTCTTCTCTTCGGGCATCTTTGGAGCGGCAACGAATAGCTCTGGATTCCCCTCCCTCAGTTCACTTAGGAGATACTGGATCCTATGGACCATGGCATCTTCCCATCTGGAGTAGCCAGCTTCGGTAGGATGGCCACAGGTGTCTATGTAATCACTGAGGAGGGTGAAGTACCTTCCGCGACTGTCTGATTGACGCTCAGCAAAGATATGGGTGGCATCGAAGAATGCCACGCGGTCATGCAGTTCACTGTATTTGAACAGCTGTTTGTTAGTGGCATAGATGGAAGTCCACAGTGGCATTTCTCGCTCCACAAAACGGAAGAACTTGAACTTCTTTTGCTTGTGTTTCATTTTGTCCATGGTTGGATTGTGCCTATGTGTAGCATCCCGGCAGTCCATCTCATTCTGTGCGCTGGGCAGAGCGGCCATTGGGAGAAGGGCGTTGATCACAACTCTAGCTTTGGGGTGCCGGTTGAGGATTTCTTCAACAACCCTCAAGACGCCCAAGACGACTAATTCTTCTGAACACTGTTCCCTGGCCAGATCATTCATGCCAACGTGGACCCACCAAATTTTGGGTTCAAAACCACGAGGCATCTCGCCATGAATCAATCGGTAGAGTACATTCTTGGTAGAATCACCCGCCAGGCCCAAAGTAATGCCTTGGGATTTCGTTGAAGAGGGTCATCAGGCACATGGATGGCACCAGTGCATGTATTGGGGTTGTGAGGACACACAAGATTGTATCAGAACATCCCCACAAGCGTCTCATTAGTGTAGGTACCTACCTTCCACAGAAGCCCCCTTATCTTTGCTGAAGCGATGCTCAAAGATGTTGCCAATAGTCTTCAATTCGTCTTTTGGGAGTCCCATCCATCGTCCACCCATTGCTTCAACGGCGGATTCTCCAATGAAGGCAACATCCAAATCACTCACATTAAGATGATTTTCCACGTATTCGGAAATTTGCAGCTTGTTTTCTTGAAAGGCTTTGGTCCAATTGGGCGACTCGACACGAGAAGCTGGTAGCAGTGGGTCTCCGCAGGAACAAAAGGGTTTACCACATCCTAAGCACCAATGTTGAACTTCTGCGTGATAGCGGTAGAATGTCAACATATCTCTCTGAGCAGCCCAGTCGGTTGGCATGTCACCAAATCTCAGTGTGGGATTGATCATGTTGTCCAACAGAAAAGTCATAACAACCAAGGAAACTACATATGAAACGAATCGACAAGCAACGGGATAGGCAAACCAAAGGTAGGACAGATGAGATGAAATGAGGCTACACAGGCCACCAAACGGCTGAAATGGCATTGTCTGTGGGGGCTCTCCGTTGTCACATCCACCGCCAGTTTCGAGAGGATCCGTTTCCCCCTTGCTGGATGATTCTTCATCGTCTTCGCTTGACATAGTGCTGGGCTTTATGCACCCGAAACAAGAAGGCCAACAGAGGACAACAACAGAGTCGAGTGACAGTCGAGCCACAAGCACAACAACCGGGGGTGAAGTCAGTCGTGGTTTTAGAATCGAATCTACCTTACCGTAAGGTACCAGTACCCCGAACCCTCACTTGCAACAACTCTACTGGCTGACCAGAACTGCGACTGGAGATCAAACGAAAGCTCGGAGCTATTCAGAGCCAAATCCAACCAAACGGAGACTTCTTTCTCATAAAATCCGTATCGATCGATCGTAACTCAAGCAACGTAATCAGTAACATGCCACAGATACTCTTCCCTACACCACCAAGGCAAACGTTGTTCGCCATTTTCGCTCTTGCACTTGGTTTCACCCTTTCAGCGGCATCGGAATATCATGACAGAACTACCCTCGATGGCAACATTGCCAATGATGATCTCCCAAATTATCTGATTGTAGGCGCTGGTGGAGGGGGTCTTCAAATGGCGTTGTTTCTGGAACAGGCCAATCTATCTTATCGCATCCTCGAAAAAGAAGACAGTGCGGGCTATTTTTGGACTCGGTTCCCTCGCTTTGGCGAGTTAATCTCCGTCAACAAGTGGACACGAAATGCAACTCAGCAATGGCGCTTTGACTGGCACTCTTTGCTCCAAGCTCCTATTAGCATGCGCAATATCACTGACGAGTACTTTCCTCAAGGCCGGGATTGGCATCAGTACATGGCCGAGGTGGTGGAATTGGCGCATTTCAACGTGGAGTATGGTGTCACTGTAACTTCCATTTCCAGCACCAGGCCATGTGTGACAACTTTGACAGGCACTACTCACTGTTCTCGGCAAAGAGTCTTTGTGGGAACCGGCCTGCGAGAAAAACCAGAGCCTGCTTTGAGGGCCATGGGCGGCATTCCCTACAGCCAAATGACCAAAGCCTTGGCCTACCACAAACGTCTTTGCATCCTGGGCAACGGCAATTCAGCCTTTGAAGTGGCTCAAAACACATTCGGGGTTGCTGATCGTATATCTGTCATAGGAAAACATGCCTATCGATTGAGTTCCGTTACCAGGTACACGGGTGATGTTCGAGTCAAGTTCCTGCAGAGCGTTGAGAACTACTACGGGAAGCTTTTGGATTCCGTTGTCTTTGTCCCTGAAGTAGTTGACATGGAAAATAAGGAGTTTCAGAGTCTCTTGACAACTACAGCTTGGTTGGAACAGTTGCAATGTGAACGATTTGTGATTGCCACAGGATTTCAATCTACTGTTCCAGGAAAACATTTTGATTCTCGATTCCCACCCACCAATGAGTGGTACGCTGACGTTGACAACTCAAATGTGCACTACTTGGGATGGCTCATGCATGAGCGGGACTTTCAGCGAGGTGCAGGAGGCTTTCTCTCGGGGTATCGATACCTCGTCCGCAATCTATTTCATCATGTGCATGAAGCGGATCACGGGGTGCCATATCCCCATCATGAACAGCTGACCGTCGAGCAAGTTGTAGAAAAGGCAATTGCACGCATTCAAACAGCAGATGATTTGATCATTCTGCAAGATGGAGTCGTCATTAGAGATGTCATTGTTTTACCAGACGGTTCAGAAGTCAGCGACAATCCATTGTATGAATATCATGAAGGCGTCACTTATCATTTTCATGAAGAACAGTTCGGGCATCGTCGTCTTGTTCACCTCTTCTTTGCATGGGGTGACAGTCGGTCAGCTGACAAGGTCTTTGACTCACACCATCATTTCTCGGATAGCAATGGTCTGGTGAACGGGTTCTTGCACCCGGTTGTTGAAGTACAGACCGCAGATGGACCCCTACAGCGGCACGTTGTCGAAGATCTATTCATGGAGTGGCGTCGACCCGGCTTTGGTTCGGCCATTGAAAAAGTGATTCGAAATGCTTTGATGGGAAATCTGCAGGAATTCAAGGCTCCAACAAAGCTAAAGTATGAGCGATCAGCTTTGAACAGCGACAGTGCAATTCCGTTTCAACGGCAGGACCGAAACGAACCAAATATGTCAGTCACTCTGGAGCATATGTCTGCTCTCAAACAGGCAGTAGAGACAGGCTACTCGCCAGAAGCACTGGACAAGCTACGGAGGATCACTCCACGAAGGTTGCCACATTTGATATCCTTCGCAGGAGAAGGAGAGAGCCAAGCACAATGCAATCCACATGACGTCAAATGTGACACCACATAGAATCGATGGAGTACGATTACTAGTACCGTGTAGGCAGGATGAGTGACGGTACGGAGATGTCCCGTTGTCCGAATGAAGAATCATTGATGAAATAGCTGAAATTACGCGTCTTCGTGGCTATGAAGCTAACTTGAATTCCTCCATCAACCATTCTTTAGAGCTCCCATAGGCTACCAGGTACTGGTAGAGCTTCGTCAATACCGGTACCGGTACCGGTTTGCGCCATCCGGCTGTTGAGGCTGTACCGGTACTATTGTACCGGTAGGCATGTGAGATCTAATAACCAAGGTTGGAGGTAAATGCGGGAGTCGATCTTCTCGTAAATCAGAAATTTGTCTGGACAATTTTGTCCTCGCCAGTTAGACTTTCAACACTTGAAGCACTATCATGTCACACCATCACAATCAGGAGGGCAGCATGTGCAGAGATCAGGAATGCAGGAATCAAAATAGACCTTCCATAGCCTACAAACGAAACATTACTAGAGATCAGACAACTAAAATGAGTGTCCATCATGACCTTCGGGAATTGCAAGATCGTCGGAGGCCGGCAAATCGAAGGTCGCTCTACTGCATCTTCATTTGTCTGGTAGCTGTTGCAATGTGCTGGATGTGCAATTCAATTTTTGCGTACAATGTTGCTTCCAGATCAGAATCTGAGCAACGTGCAGTCGGGATATTGTCACGAATAGACGATTTCTCAAAGCAGAAAGAAAGAGAACCTCGACAATTCTCTCAGACTTTGGATATTGCTCCCTTTGCCTCGAATAGAAGTATTGTTCTGATCCACGTGGGAAAGGCCGGAGGCTTGACCATACGAGAAAATTTGGCTCATACCTGCAACTTTGTTGGTTTCGGAGGCTCGCTCAAGAGGCAGGAGAGGAAGCGACAAAAGTGCAAGGATCGCCTCAACAGAAATGGGGGACTCTCCCTGCAGACCCAGTCAGTTTTTCATGGCCAAGACTACAACGGCACCGCCGTCAAAGAAAGCACAACCTTTGTTATCACATTACGGAATCCAATTGACCGAATTGTGAGCGCTTACCGTTATTCACATCCAAGCAACTGCATTGGAAACAACGAGACAGATTCCCCAGAATACAATATTCGAGGATGTCAGCTCCTAAAAGAAGGCCTGCTGGAAACACGAGCAGGATTCAAAATCTTCAAGCAATGCTTCCCAGATCCCGCAATGGAGGACTTTGCACAGGTTAGTTGACCCTGATACTCTATGGAATAGCTTGGTCATGGTGATGGTCCGTATCCTCACTCTTTTTGTTATCAGATCTTGATGAATCCCTACAAAGCTAGTCGTCACATGCAAACCCTTCCAAACAGAGAAATCAGAGAATGCCACAGGATAGCCAGGGGCTTGCTAGCAGGGATTGCAATGGACAACATAATTCCGCATATGCAGTACACCTACAGACACTATTTTTCCAACACAATCCTTCTCTATCCCGAGAAAGAAGTCTTTGGCATTAGAACAGAGCATCAATTCGCAGACATGGAGCTGGTTGACAAATGGGTTGGAGGCAAGGGCAAAGCTTGGAATCGCGACAATCCATTTACTCATGGAAGCCAACATTTTGCACCCTCGCCGTTGTCCGTGGAGGCCACGAACAAACTGTGCTGTACATTGTCAAGTGAAATTGAAGTCTACCTGGACATCTTTGACAAGGCCATCAACCTGGACCTTGCCGCCAAAAGGGAAGCCGAGGATAGGCTGCGACAGCAGTGTGGCTTGTCGACGGACGTATCGTGGAGAGAGTGGCAAACGTTATGCGAGATTGGACTTTCCGAGAGCATCGAATCGAGCTTGGAGAATACGACGGCTCTACCGACATACTCCTTTTATCCTCAGCAGGCTGAAGTGGCACAAAACCGTTCGATTGTCTTGGTGCACGTGGGCAAAGCGGGGGTAGGTTTGCTATGCAATGATGTGCAATGGGAGAACCTCGACATTTGTCTTGCTAACTTCACTTGTATTGTTTGTCATACCATGTTCAGGGCATGACGCTACGAAACACCTTAGCTTTCCCTTGTGCAACAGGGAGGCTCATTGGTTCTTCGCCTCTGGAAGAACAGCAGGAAATATGCACCAATAAGTATCAGTTGGGTCAACGATTGTCTCTTCAAACTCGGAGCGTATTCCATGTGGACGATTACGACCCTGTTGACATGAAGAAAGCAACAACCTACTTGTTCACTTTGAGGAACCCTGTGGAACGAGTTATTTCCGCCTATAGATTCTCCCACCCAGATAATTGCGGTTATGGCAACAACACCGATGACCTGATGCGGGGATGCACTGTTATCCAGTACGGCCACCTTGACAATCCACTAGACATGGCGTATGTGCTATACAGGTAGATAGCACATTAGGGGATGAGTTGCACCCGTATTTCAGTCGATGTCGTCCTCACTCACCTCTTTCTCGTGCGTCTTCAACCAACTCACACAACAATAGGCAATGCTTCCCTAGCGCCGCCATGGAAGACTTTGCTCAGAGCTTGATTCCACCGTGGAGACCAACTCCGAGCTTTCAAAATCTGACACAAGACAAAATCAACGATTGTAGACGATACGCACTGGCGATGGTGCAGAGAAGTTCCGTGGAGGTTGCCATTCCTCAGATGCATTTCAACTATCTGTATTATTACTCTGGCAGCGTGAAAAAATTTCCTGACAAGGAAGTTTTTGCAGTACGAACAGAACATGAATGGGAGGATATTGTCACAATTGACAAATGGATTGGTGGCACGGGGAAATATCCCGGCCAGGGTGGTGCCCACACACATGGAAGTGAGCACTATCGCCCATCGCCACTATCGGAAGAAGCTTACCACAAGCTTTGCTGTGTCTTGGCAAGCGAAATCAAAATCTACTTTCATTTGTATGATTTGGCTTTGAATTTGGACGAAGCAGCCAAGCTTGAAAGTGAAGACATCCTTCGTGAGAAGTGTGGCATTCCAGCTTCCACCTCCTGGACAGAGTGGAGGAATGGGTGCAATCAGCGACTAGCAGACGTGGATTCGGAAAGATCGGTTGCAGTGTTGACTGCTGAAGAGGAACGAACTCTTGATGATCGCTTGGCCAAAGAGGCCGAGTTGAAGTTTTCCACTGGGGATTTGGACAAAGGACGATACTAACAGCTATACTAAGTCCTCGCTGGCTAGCAGTCGGCCACTGCTCTGCAAGATGGACCTTCAGAGATGGTTCAAGAAGACATCAAGGAAGACACGTATACTAGTAGGTGTCTAGCTAGTGCATTTTGACGTTCTTAATTAACTAGCTAGTGCATTCATTGTACGGTACCTACATTACATTATTTCATTGATTTAGAAAAAGTCCGATTCCTCCAATTTTTCTCCAAAGTACACAAACAAGTGTTGCAGTGCCTCTTTGGAGAGTCTTGGATCTTGCTGATAGGTTTTCATAAAGTAAATGAAAGCATCTTCTTCGTACTTGTAATGCGGCTGCCACTTCCAGAGTTGCTGAATAAAGTAGACGTGTCGTTTGGCTTCGTATACCATATCCAATCCCAATGCAAACTCGAGTATCTTTAGTTGTGTGGTGACGGGTGGCAATACGGAATGTTGATTGAAAAAGTCTTGCATGACGGAAATGGCCCCGGCGACGTCTCCCAAGTTGAGTAATCCTTCGACAATGCATTGGACCGTGTAATAGGACGGCGTCAGATTGTGTGGTTGGGATATCATTTGTTGATAGTACTTTCTCATGAGTGCGACATCTCCGACCCGTGCGAGTCCCGACAAGAGACTGTCGTAGGATCGTTGATCGGGCGGAATATTGGCAGCGGGCATGACGGTATCTAGTAGATGCATGGCCCGCCAGAGAGCCCCTCGATAGACACATGTTTTGATGAGAATGTTGTACGAGACAAGATCGAGTTGAATGGGTTCGTGTCCACAAGCCCCATGCGTCAACGAGACGGCAAAGGAGAATGCTGCCGTGAGTGGCAAACTCCAGTCGGGATCGTTTTCACGATCCACCTTGAGTACGCCCTTGCTTTTAGCGCGCTCTTGGTTATCATTGCGTGTGTTGTTGTTGTTTGTTGGCAGAAATTTGCCTTCTGCTTCGGTGGGTACCTTGTGGTACGGTGGTGGTTCTTTGAGCTTGAGTCTCACCTTGAAGGGTCTTGGCTGTTTGGAGGGCAAGTTGGCGTAATTCAATCCAGGAATGATATCACTCGAGTCGTCGTCGTCGTCGTCGTCGTCGTCACTCTCTACTTCTTCTACATCTTCATCCATAATAATTGGTGTCCGATGAACAGAATAAAAGTAATGGACGGCCTTTCCGGATCGTCCTCGACTGGAGTATGTATCCAACATGCGATTGGCCAATTCTTGTGTCAGTGGAAAATCGCGCGCACTCATATTGAGTAAAATGGCATCGAGCCATCGCGTGGGATCATCGAGTGGCGGTTGTTTGGCATCTCCCAAAAAGACATTTCGTACTGCGCGTAAATTCCATCCCGACACTTCCACGGCGGAAATGGCATGTTCAAATTCTTCGAGTGTGGGTGGATACTGGTGTTGCGTGCGGTAATTGAGGAGTGCCAGGACTCGTCCGATATTGCCGGCTTTGCCATTGGCGTGGATCAACCGGAGTGTCAAACGGGAATTCAATTCCTGTTTTTGTGGTGGTTGCAGCAAGACGGTTCCCAAGGCACGTTCCCATGTGCGGACGCGTTCGGCCAATTTGGGCGGTTTGAAGCGACAGCGGAGCAGTACCGCCAATGCTCGGTCGACAATCCCCGTGGCCAAGAGGGCGTCTTGTTCCAGCCGGCTAATACTTGTAGTTGTTGAACCGTCGGCCATGGCGAGCAAGTAGGTTTCGTAGGCATTGGCAGTGGCCCGACACGCGTCGACATCCCAGTAGTAGTTTCGACGAGCACGGCGCCTGGATTTGACTTGAATGGGACTTCCTTGATTGTACTTGCGATTGCGAAGAATGTCCTTGACCAACTGATCCACGGGAGGAAGGTCTCTAGTACCTGTACCGGTATTGGCAGTAAGAGTAGGAGGAGGAGTACTGATCTTGTCCTCCAGCGTTGACTTTGTGTTTGTGTTCACAGCTGTCGAAAAGTTGGATTTTTGAATGACACTGGTCGTACTACAGGTAGTAGCAGCAGAGGAGTCCCAAACGGATGATGCAAATTGTTGACTGGGATGAATAGTTGTTGTTGTAGTGGCAGTATGGAAATCCTGTATTTTGACAGCTACAGCACCACTTCCACGGTTGGCATGGCTAGTAGTGGCGGCCAACAAGGCTCTCCGTACAACACCGTTGTGGGGCTTCATCATCGGGGTTATGCTCACAAACTTGTTATCAATTGAGGTGGTTATTCTCACAAGCTTACAATACCACTTTGAGCTTCCACCAAAATGGACGGTGCGTACGGAAAGCAGCTTTGTAAGCCAGCACTAGGCTGTAAGCAGCTTGGGTTGCCAAGCCTGGGGAAATGTCTCTGACGAGACATCCTGGATTCCGTGTCACGCCCTCAAGATGTTGCATCTATGAGGTCAGTGGCAGTACGTGTAGGTATGCATACAGGTATGTAGGACTTTACCTGACGCAATCTCTAGAGGACCCCCCCAATGGAGCAGCAAGGCCAAATCTTTAATAAAATGGGAGGGGTACCCCCCAATTCCTATGGTGTGCAAGCAGCATCAAGCAAGAAACCAAAACGGGGTACCCCAAAAAAATCCTGCAGAGCCTATTATCCAATGGGATCTTACATCGTACCTTGGAATTGAATCTTAGAAGATCAGGATTAGCTTTTAAATTTCCATCAGGAGAATTGCAACCAACAAGCAACTTGAAATGGAGGATGAACCAGAGACCAAGAGCTTCTCAGGGGTGTCCATAGGTAACTCCATAGGTAATGTTATTCCCTGGATGTTGGAACAAGCTATGAGAATACCAGTATAAGGTACCCACCCCCTTCTAGTCTACGTAGGTCTACGTAGTGCAAGCAGCAAGATCCAAATGGCAAAAGGGGGGTACTTTTCCTGCAGAAGGAGAAGGTACCTGGTACCGGTATGATACGGCGTACGGTACGGTACCTCTAACCATCATCTATGTATGGTAGGTGAAGGTACATGGTAGCTACCGGTACATGCAGATTGTAGATTGTAGATCCAAGATCGAGACCTCTCGCGATGTGTCGACGTTTCGGGACGGTGTCAGTACAAGAGTGGCAAATAAATCATGTTTCTAACGGGATCAGAGCTTGCTTATTTTGAAAGAGTGAACCCGCGAACAGCTCCGCGAACCCGCCTTTAATTTCCCTTTGCTCCAGGACCTCTGTGGAAACGTCATTTGTGGCAAAATACTTAGGAGACGATACACCGAGGAATAGGAGACGATCGAAATGATTTAGGAGACGAAAGCAATCGTCTCCTATATTTAAGAGACGATTCAGTAGGAGACATTCCAATTAGGAGACGAAAATTTCGAAATAGGAGACGATCTGAAAGCTTTAGGAGACGATACCATACAGTTTACATGGTACACTTAGGAGACAATCCGTTGAGAATAGGAGACGATCCGTTGAAAATAGGAGACGTTTTAAGAGGAGACAAAAGATTTAAGAGACGATCCGTTTCGTCTCCTATTTTTAGGAGACGAAATCCATTAAATAGGAGACGATCAAAAGGATTTAGGAGACGAAAAGTAGCACGACTCGAGTTTCCACAGAGGTCCTGTGTTCACTTCTCTTTTCGTAAAAGGATTTATATCTACATTGAAGGTTAACCTGCTTTAAATCAATTGAGGATTTATTGTGTTCTTTGTTGTATCGTAGATCGTAGATGAGAAATGCCTTTCTTAAAATGTTGATTTTGAGTACAGGTATTCGAAGTGTATGTGGAGTTATTAATAACGATTCGTGGTCTTTGCTGTATGCAATCGTATCTGGACCAACGATTTAATGCGTATTAAAAGCCATGCCACTCAAGAAGATATTTAAATATGTATGGCACACACTACAGTACGAGTACGTACTCGAGAACTCGAGAAGTCGGCAGCTACCAGTACAGTACTACTCCAGAGTACTTACTTAGAGTACCGGTACTCTAGTGCGTCGTAAGCACAGGTTTTTACTGTGCAGCGACTACAGTTACTAGTACATAAAGCAAACCGCTACGATCCTGTGGTTGCTGGTACATGTTGTAGGTACTGGTACCAAACCGGTGGTACATGTGTACCGGTGGTACCTGGTACACATCCTCTTCCCCTGCCCATCCAGCCCCTTTGACTTGGTTTGGATTTTGAGCTCTGTTTCATTGTCCTTCCTAGCTAGCAGTCAGTAGTCGGTATTGTTTGCGCATTAGTAGCTACGCCGATTGAATGATCAATCATCACTTCCTACACAGAGTATCTGCCAAGAGCGCGACGAGCAAGGAGCAAAATGGCGAGCAAAGATACCAAGAACGACTCCATGGGTGCTTGTGAACCAACAACAGAAAACGAGACCAACCACAGCAGCCGTCACGAGATGAATGCCCTTCCCATCACAAAAAAGAGCCATTGCTCATTTGCTGCCAAAAAGAACTGCACACCCCAAGAGAAGGAGCAAACATCCGGGCCGTCACCAACCAAGACCGAGGAGGAAACACTGGAAAATTCTGCTAAAAAGCAGCAAGAAACCAGGAGAGTCAACCCAACCATGCAGAGTCTGGGGATAGTTTTGCAGAGCAACCCGTCGTCATGTCTCTGATGAATATTGCAGAAGACATACAAGCATTGAATATGGCAATCATCGC